GTCTAAGGAAATCCCTGCAATGCATTTTTGACTCACAACATACAATATAGCTGCTTATCAAAGTTTTTAGTCACCATTTCACTCAGCACACACACGCATCACAGTGTATGAACAACATGTCCACAGAAGCGTACATTACATGCTCACATTTTAAATGAACAATTTTATCAAGCGGTTGTTGTGTTTGTATTATGCTTGATCTAATTTACTGCTTCTTGCTTACTGAACTGCTTGACCTGAATACATCTTTACAAACCTTGATTGATAGTTTTTATTTAATTATGTTTCGTGCATTGCAACCTGCTTGTTAGAGTGTTTATCATGTTTTTTACCAAATTCAATAAAATTGAAACTTGCTTTAAGGTTCATGCCATTGATAAATAAAAAGGTGGTGGATATGCATGTGTGCGTGCCGGTGTTTCAATCATGCGTGCAATCAGCGGAACAAATCAAGACAGACAGCAGACTGGTCACTATGGAAACGGCTTGTCTGGTTACTGTTAGGGAACATTCCTATACCGCAGTGTTGTTTGTTTGGTTGTCTTATGACTTGAGGAAATAGTCTATATTTTCACAATGTCTCGTAAGTTTCAGGTTTGGTGTCAGCACAAAAACGTTGACAGAGCATCTTAACGGCCCGTCTACACTACAGGCATCGAACAAATGCTTTCAACGCTTCGGCCCATTCACTTTGAATGGGGGGTGACGTAGACCAGTTTTTAATCTTTCGCCGAACTGCATTGTGGGGAGCATGGCATGGCTTGCAAGCATCAATGAGCTTCTATCGGCATCAAAGTTGAACCACATGTTCAACTCTTTGACGGCTCGATGCTGGCATCAGCCCAATCAAATCCAAGTTTATGCACAATCCCGCCAGTGCAAGCGAGCCAATCAAACCGCGTGCAAGCTGGGAGAGCCAGGACCGCAGTTCATTTCCTCATATTCCCAAACGAGATATTACGGTAAGCAAATCACCCGGTTCTTCTACGACCAGAACTATTTACCGGGATACAAACCTTGAGGAACCAGCATGGAGGGAGGTGGCAGAGACAGTGGGTGACAACTGGTAGTTTTCGCCTGTTTGGAGAGTTTATATCCGGTTTTACTTCGTTTTAAACATTGCTATTGCTTTGTATGTCGGGGGCGGGGAGATTCATGTGATTGGTTGTTGGTTCGCAAAAAATCGCCAACTCAGACACCGGCCCAGCTTCAAGATTTTTTTGATGCCTGTAGTGTAGGCGGGCCGAGACAAATAGAAGAAAGTGTGTTAAGTTATGTGTGTGTAGAATGTTTACTTGGTGTGTGTGTTGTGTGTGTGTTGTGTTTGGGTGTGTATGTACATTCCTCTGTTAACACTGAACATATGCGGACATGACAGATATGAAGGATGATATGAGTGCCATGAGTCCTGCAAATGTTTTTCAAGTTAATACCATTATTTTTCCATTCACATATATCTAGTGAAAACATTTGATGTATGTTATTTATTTGACAGGGAGGGGTCTATATGAATGCGTTTTTTTCATTTCACAGATATTAGGATCACAGTCCAATGTTCAGGGGTGCGGGTGGGTTATGGTTAGTAAAGGTATGTTCTTATCTTTTTCAAAGTGCAAGATGTAGTTCATTTAAGATGGAAATAGTTGGTGCTATAATGCTTTTAAGAGCCCAGTGTAAGGGTCAAAATAATGTCAGCGCATGTGGCCTTCATCAAAATGTTGTCAATAAAAGAGCACCTTCATATTACCCGCATATCTTACAACCCTTAGATTTTTGTTTTGTGTCGGGCTGGGCAAGATCGTTTCAGAAAAATGTTGTCAAGCGGTTTCAATGTCAATTAAAAAACTGCATAAGCATGGTTTTTTTGGCCACTAAAGAGCATCGAAAAACAAGCTGTAAAGGCCACGAAATTGAAATATAAAATTTGGAATTGGGTATCAGGGCGAAACTCACCAAATATATTCATTATTAAATATTCTTGGTCTATGAAATTGGGTGAATTACAGGCAGAGGTGTAAAGTACCTAGCACATTTACTTAAGTACTGTACTAAAGTAAATGTGCTTAGGTTACTTCACACCTATGCTGTAATTCACCAATTTATAGACCAAGAATATTTCAATAATGAAATACTTTGTGAGTTGTCGCCTGATACCAATTCCAAATTTATATTTCAATTTCGTGCTACAGCTTGTTTTCGATGCTCTTTAGTGAAAAAACCATGTTATTGCAGTTTTTTTTAATTGACATGAAACCGCTGACAACATTTCTGAAACGATCTTGCAGCCCGACACAAAACAAAAATCTAAGGTTGTAGATATGCGGGTATAATGAAGGTGCTCTTTTATTGACAACATTTTGATGAAGGCCCACATGCCTGACATATTTGACCTTACACACTGGCTCTTAAAAGCATTATAGCACAACTATTTCCATCTTAAATGAACTACATCTTGGCAACTTTTGAAAAGATAAGAACATACCTTTACTAACCAATAACCCCACCCCACCCCTGAACATTGACTGTGATCCTACAAATACTTTGAAATAAAAAAACACATCATATTAGACCCTCCCTGTCAAATAAATAAATTACATCATAATGTTGTTCACTAGATATATGTGAATTGAAAAAATAATGTTACTACTTGAAACATTTGCAGGACTCATGGCACTTCATATCATCCTCATATCTGTCATGTCGCATATATGTTCAGTGTTAACAGAGGAATGTACATACACACCCCAACCACAACACACACACACCACACACACACAACACACACCAAGTAAACATCTAGGCACACTAACTTACCACACTTTTTCTATTTGTCTCGGCCCGTCTACACTACAGGCATCAAAAAATCTTGAAGCTGGGCTGTGTCTGAAGCTTGGCGATTTTTTGCGACCAACAAACCCAATCACATGAACTTCCCGCCCCCGACATACAAAGCAATAGCAATGTTAAACGAAGTAAACTAACTGGATATAAACTCTCCAAACAGGCGAAAAACCCTACCAGGTTTCACCCACTGCTCTGCCACCTCCCTCCATGCCTGGTTCCTCCGGTTTGTATCCGGTAAATAGTCTGGTCGTAAAGAACCGGAGTGATTTTGCTACCGTAATATCTCGTTTGGAATATGAGGAAATGAACTGCGGTCTGGCCTCTCCCGCTTGCACCGGCACGTTTGATGGCTGCGCTTGCACTGGCCGGATTTGCATAAACTGGATTGATTGCTGATGCCAAGCATCGAGCCTCCAAAAGTTGAACATTGTTCAACTTTTGATGCCGATAGAAGCTCATGATGCTTGCAAAGCCATGCCATGCTCCCCACAATGCAGTTCGGCGAAGATTAAAAATCTTCTACGTCACCCCATTCAAGTGAATGGGCGAAGCGTTGAAAGCATTTTTCGATGCCTGTAGTGTAGACGGGCCGTTAAGATGCTCTGTCAACGTTTTTGTGCTGACACCAAACCTGAAACTTAACGAGACATTGTGAAAATATAGACTATTTCCTCAAGTCATAAGACAACAAACAAACAAACACTGCGTATAGGAATGTTCCCTAACAGTAACCAGACAAGCCGTTTCCATAGTGACCAGTCTGCTGTCTGTCTTGATTTGTTTCCTGATTGCACGCATTGATTGAAACACCGGCACGCACACATGCATATCCACCCACCATTTTTATTTATCAATGCATGAACCTTAAAGCAAGTTTCAATTTTATTGAATTTGTAAAAAAAACATGATAAACAATTAACAAGCAGGTTGCAATGCCGAAACAATAATAAATAAAATAACTTCAATCAAGGTTTGTAAAAGATTATTCAGGTCAAGCAGTTCAGTAAGCAAAGAAGCAGTAATTAGATCAGCATAATACAAACACAACAAACAGCTTGATAAAATTGTTCATTTAAAATGTGGCATGTATGTAGACCTTCTGTGGACATGTTGTTCAATACACTGTGATGCGTGTGTGTGCTGAGTGAAAGGTGACTAAAAACTTTGATAAAGCAGCTATATTGTATGTTGTGAGTCAAAATGCATTGCAGGGATTTCTTAGACACATGCCGTCAGAGTACTAAAAGTGTAGTCTCTTTTTATATGTTAGCATTGCAAGGCTTTATAAAATACTTGTACAGTACACTGACAGTTCTACTAACTAAATATGTAACACATGAAGGGGAGCTTTACTAAAATAAAACATACAAGACTAATATTAAATCTAACAGCTAGCATGTACCCTACACTGGATGAAGAAGGAAAACTGCATTATGTTGCTGATTTTCTCATTAGTGGTCATTGTTGAAGGACCCTCACGTTCATCATTACAATCTTATTCATGCAATGATCAAACTACAGGACACTCTTTTAAATTCCAAATAAGTTTCCAAAGAAACCAGATATGTTTTGCTGAGATGGGTGAAACGTGCAGAATCATTTAAATCATGGTGGTAATGGTGCAACCCTAAAAATAAGGGCTGTTTTGGATTGTTTCAGTTTATACAAGGCTACATACAGCATTCTATGCCTTTGGTAAGAGGCTTTCCAAACTTCTATTAGGTAAAAACGGCATGTTTAAAAGTGAATTTAAAGAATCATGGTTCAAACTTTTCAGACAGCTTTATGAAAGTCATGTTGGGTCAAGTCCTAAAGTTGAAATGCAGTTAAGCAGACGATTATGTGGAGTCTGAAAGCTACATCCTTCATAATGTACCACACCTTCTTGACCTCCGCCCCATGTGTACAAAACAATGTGCAAACACAATTTCTAACTGGTGATATGATGCCTTTGATATTCTTCTTGCAAAGCGTGCATCAGTCTGTAGATAGATGTGTTGAATCACTGTAGCAGTAAAGGGGGAAATTCCTTTTTGCAGCACCATAAGTGTACAGAAGTGAAGAGTTGGTCGGCAAAACGGCTCATCTTGGATCAGTTTCATCTGCTATGGTGCACACGGCCAGGTCTCCTGCCTGAGCCTCCATTTTACATCTTCATATTTGATTGGAAGATCAGTTTGTGTGTGTTTGTGCATTCATTTCGGAACAAAGGGTAGGAGAGGAATGTTCTTTTTCATTGAGTCTTTACTTTCTTGCTGTGAGTCCCAGACTCTCGCCTCCGTGCCCTCAGTGAGAAACGCCTGTTGGAGACATGAGATGATGGCAAGGTTATGTTACAATAGTCCTCACAAAAGCATTTAGGTGCATGGTGAATAGAACACACTTCTATCATCAGCAGCAAGAAGATTGTAAACTGTATATTTTACGTGTAAATAGACACACATTCAACTCTACTAGTCCCATTCATTGTGTCCACATTCATGCTGTGTTTTGTAGTGTTTGAGTATTCGTCCTCTCAAGAGATACACTAGAGTCCCACAGCTTTAACATGTTCAGTGTATGTGTGTTTGTGTTGTGGTATTTTGTGTGGGGTGTCCTACCTTCGCTGGTAGAGGTAGAGGAAGAACAAGAGCTCATCTCTGAAGCAGGAAAGTTGATGAGAGGAAGAGAAGGATCCAGAAGAGGAGAAAAAGGTGGCACAGGAGCACAGGTCTGAGATCAGCGTGTTCACTCCCTGGTGTAGACAGAGAGGAGGGTTAAGGAGGGAGAGAAAAAAGAAATTGTCCACTAGCAATTTGTTGGAAAGAATATAAGTCGTTTTCTGATTGCTGAGTGATAAATAATATTTAAAGTGCATTTACTAGAAAGTTTCAAGAAAAAAAAATGAGAATGAAAAGACAAAGATAATCTGCACAAATGATGTTACTGTTGCAGTTTGTGAAAGAACCAGAGAGACAGTCACACTCACTCTGTACATCAACACTGTCCCCTGCAGGTGGCTCACAGACTTCAACTGATCCAGAGAGAGAGGGAGGAACAGAGAGAGACAGCAGAGGGGGCGAGGTATTGGGATCTTTAAATAGTAAAAGTACCTATACCACAGCGTATAGGCCTACTTTCAAACATCTGCTTAAGTAAAAGTAATCGTTAAGCAGAATGGTCCATTTCTGAATAATGTATTTTATTTTACTGAATATTTTCTGAAGTATTAATGTAAATCACATAGGGGCTATTTTATCGCTATGTCCTGCTCGGGACCTTGGGAATTCCTCCAAATGATCAATAAAGTCTTATATTTATCCATAATAATGAATCATGATGTTAATTACATTTTGTATTTATTTTCTGAATCTGTAATGCTGCTAGTAGCTCAATGTATCAAATAAAGGAAGTGGATTGATATAAGAGTTGCATTTAAGTAGAAGTATATAGTAGCAGGAAATACTTAGTTAAATTACGAGTAAGTAAACTAAACATTGAGTATTTGAGTAAATGTACTTTCTACAGCCAAGGAAAGTTCAAGCAACAACTTACACATATTCAGGTTATTTAATTTCACTACAATCAGAACATTTAGTAGTAAATACACTTGTATACAGGACAGACCTTGTGGTTAATGAACAGCTGTGGGGCCATGGACAGGAAGCCAAAGGCATACACTCCTGAGAGGAGAAGAGGAAGAGGGTCAATGCAGTACAATAGTGGTTTAAGTGAAGGCATCATCTTAATTGAATAAGAAAAACTGACAAATAATCAATAATGTATGTTGTGGAAACAAACAAACAGATAAGCTTATTTCTCTGTGATGAATAATTGAAGTCAACTCACCAGTCACCAGGCTGTTGACCAACCAGGAATAGTAACTGTCAACATAATGCAATTTAATGTTAATAGAAATAGCTGCTATATGCTGTATGTACGTAATAACAAGTAATATTAGATCATATTCATACATAAATCCAAAAAACATCTTACTTTATTTCAAGAAAAATTCAGGTCTGATTTGAATCTGACTGATTAAAATACTTCAGTACAGTAGGTGGAGAGGAACCAAGATGTAACCAGGAGAGAGTTTGTATTGAAATGTTACAAGTACACTGAACAGATGAGTGTGTGACATTTCGTAGCATCATTTGAAAGTATACTCTGCAGGTTTTCCCTAAAAAAATGTATGGACTAATACGGCATTTTCTTTTGTTGTTCTTGTTTTGCTGTGTTCAGGTTGTCTCTGAGATGTATAGCCATATTTATTTGAGCTGTACAGCCTAACCGCCTACTAGGAATAACATTACATTCTTTCCAATTTGTATTCTCGCTAATGTTGCTCCATCTCTTAATTCACTTTCCTAGCTCGCTCGAACCCCGTTGCACACACTCTCTCTTGTTCATTGAGCAGGGGAGGACCAACTATGAGTGGTGTGTTTACATCAGCAGCTGACAAATCCTGCATAGTATGCCTTTAAGCTACGTAGCAGAGCTCTTACCTCTTTTGGCGTAAGTAGGCCAGGGAGAAAATAGCTCCGCTGATGCACAGAGGATAGACCAAGTAGGACAAGTATCTTGACGCCTGGAGAGAAAAGCAAATATTCAAATTAAATCCTGAAGCAGAGCATATTAAATCAGAACTCTAACATATTAGAAAAAGATAGATAAACACACCTGCTTGTCATACTCCACTGTCTTTCTCTCTTCTTCGTCCAGCTTAATGACCTTCACAGTGAGAGAGGAGGCAGACTTACGTTAGAAAGAAAGTTAATGACAGTCTGCATCAGGGCTGGAAGTAAAAGTTTATTATTAAAATACATTGAAACAAATGATATCACTTTAAACATTAAATCTACAGTGAACGGATGTTGAATGGCACCATACTCACATGGAGCTTGGAGCTTCTCCATTGAAACTGGACCTTATATACTGTAAACAACTTCCATACCTGGCAGGAGGAAATGTTCGTTGGTTAAAACTGTCGGCTATGATGTTTCTTTTACCTTTTCTGTTATTTGGATTTTCCTGTTATTCTAAATACCTCCAAAAATGCTCCCAGTCCAACAGGCAGCAGCACCAGCAGACTTGTCTCCTCTAGCAGATGGAGGAAAATCAGCAAAGTGCTCAGACTACGCCACAGAACTACAGACAGAAAGGGGAGAAACACAGAAACACTTTAATATTTTCCAGGCTTTGGTTTACTGTTCGTTCCGTCATATACATTACAACTATGATTTAATGTTGTTTATATTTGCCATAAGCTCTACTACCTTGACTGAAAACAATTGTCAGTGCAAAAAAAAACCTTTAAAGACCATTTTTAAGTCACAAATGTTTAATAATTAAAAACATTTCTTGCCTGATTTCCTGGACATTCCCGCCATGGTCTTCTTTTTTCTCCATGAGCAGAAGTCATTTTTAAGAGCCAAGAACTCACATATGAGCTGTAGATAGAAACCTACTTTAACTTTACAATGCTTCATTTGCAATAAACGTGCTCTCATGAAACTTACATATAGAGATTGAAATGGGGATCTAATATGTATGGCATGGTTTTTCTTTTATGGTGTTGCATGATCTTACTTGCAGAGCTGTGATGAGTGCAGTCAACACTAACAGGTAGAGGTTGGAGCCCACCAAAGTCTCTTTAATCTCATCCACATTCTCCTCAGTGAAGCCTGGAGAAATAACAACATGCATTTCAATCCACTGGTTATGTGATGTGAATAGCCACATGCTGAAATATGTATTGTGTTATTATGGCATCTTATCAGCGCACCAAACTGTCGCAGAGAATAAACAATGTCCTGCAGATGCACCCAGAACCTGAACCCCCTCAAAGAGATGCCCTCGTAGGACACAGTCAGAGGCAGCCGGATAGTGCTGCTGCTGATCTCCTGTTGATGAGTGAAAAGGTAGATGTTAGATCAGTCAAATCAAACCCAAACTGTGTTTTATGAAGTATGCTTTTAACTTTATGGGTAAAGTTGTCCTACCATGAGGTCTCTGACTCTGAAGCTGATCTCGTTCACCAGCAGCAGAGGGAGGTAGATCATCTGTCGGCCTTCCTGAGAGCTGCAGGGACAAACGGAGACGGTTTAATCTAAACACACACACACACACACACACACACACACACACACACACACACACACACACACACACACACACACACACAGACACACACACACAGGTTGGCCTGGGGCAGATTCATTATTTACAGCAGTGTGGAGTTGCAAGAAGATTATAATCAAACATAACCCACATGCATTTAAATGGTTTATTAAGCAACAGTCATTGTGTTTGCTTTACAAATGATGAACAGTCACCTTTCCACTCACAAGTGTATTTCTACAGAGTAACAGTCATGCTGGCAATGCTTCAGCATCTTTATTAACTATCAAGAAATGATGTTTGTGGTTTGTTTGTTTATTTGTGTGTGTGTTTGTCAGCAGAATAACAGGAAAAACACTGGCCTAATTTTCCTTAAACTTTGTGAGAAAGTGCAAGAAACTTTACATTTTGGAGCAAATCCCAATTGCTTATCGGTAACCCACATTATTTTGTATTAATGATAATGGTATTATTGGAGGCCTGGGCCTTTTGATTGCCCTTTTAGTTGCCTTAGAAGTGAGATGTTGAGAAAAATAAAGGAAAAATATACAGCAATGGTTAAGACTAAGGTACATGAACACAATTGTCACCTTTCTTTGTTTCTAATGTTTGCTTCTTTTTCTAAACAACTATGTTAGTTTATTAATTGATGTCCTTTAAGGGATTAACTTATTTTGTAATTGTGTAAAAAACGATTTTACAGATAAAATGTATGCTTTAAGAAGAGCACTGGCTGAAAGCTTTCGTCACACAGAACAAGCAGTAGTCAGCTACAGTAGATTTGACCTCCAAAGCCTCATGTGACTTACACTCTCATGTAGCGCCGCACATCACTGGGAAGCCCCGCCTTGTTGAAGGTGAAGTCCTCTGACATCATAGTGACTGACAGGTGAGGTCTCCAGTGGGATACGGGATTTTCGGATCTGGGACTCGCCCTCTGATGGAGCCATACAAATCACTTATATCTGCTGTAAAGGTGACAAGTGGCTGAAATATGATAGGAGTCACGTTTTACCTTGTGCGTGTCTCTTTGTCCCTCTGTATGGGGGGGAGCGATGTAGGTGGTGAGCTGAGCTGCATAGTGCACTTCTCTGCCGTCCTCCAGAGGTGAAACACCAGCTTTGTGAATATACACGACTGCAAACAGAGTGCCATTATCCCGAGTTTGCTCTGGCAGGGAGACATTCACTTCCCTAAGGAGTGAGAGAGAAGGGACGGTGAGAGAGAGGATATAAATGAGAGCAGCAGTGTTTCTACAGTGTTTATCTTTTAGTGGCAATGAGCAGAAAGTCTCCTAATTGACATTCACATGATTAACAGATGTATAACATGTCAAACCCACCTCTCAAATGAAGAGTGTGGGTCAAATTGGTCTATTCTTACAGCCAGGTTGAGTTGGCTGTTGTCTGGCACGAGGCAGGTGAAGACACTCAGCTGTAAAAACAGAAGAAGAGAAGATTCAAAGCAGTGTTTTCTATTTCAAAAAACCTTTGAGTCAAAAAATACATGCAGAAATGGAAGAGTGAGAACTACAAAAAAAACGACCTTATGTTGTAAACCCCCCCATGTAAATCAGTATTTAAAGTATTTATTGATTCAGCCTGACACACACATCATTCCTTTTTATTTAAGATAACTAGATTTTTACTTTATTTATCCAAAATTCGGAAATTATTTGGTTCAAGCAGCAGTGCCAACCATTAAACAAGATTACAAAATGTAAAAGATACAATAAGATACAAATATAATAAAATTAACATTTGCGGCAAGTATAAATTATAAAAATAACATTTAAAGATTTAAAATGTAAATGCTAAATTGACACTAGCAGCAAGTATACAAATTCACAACAGAAAATACTTATATCCTATATCTAAATAATACACAATATTATATCGAAATATTGAATAAATGTAGTATACTCAATATACAGTCTCCCTAGGTTACAGGAATATATAAATAGACACATAATGGCATGGGATTGAATATGCATTATACTCGTGCAAAATAGCTTTTGAGCTAATTGTTCTGGGTTATGAAAGAGGAGACACTTACAAGCTATGGGGCATGACACTGTCAATACACTTTTTATCTGAAAAAAACTAAAGGCCATAACCAAAAATCGTTTTTGTATCATGCTTTGCAGGGAAAGGACATTATTAAAAAGAGGGTTTATTCTTAGCAGCACTTGCTAATATCATTTACGAAGGAGCAGGGGCAGTGAGTTTAGTTATTCTGAACCCAATGGCCCTGCATGCAGGAGGGTCTTTTTCTGGATCTCTCAGTAATCTGGTATCCCTAATAATGAGGAGTAGTGGATAAGAGACAGAGGCCTGTGCTCACCTGAAGCCTGGGTCTTGCTGTCAGGTAGGAGGAGATGCAGAGCTCTCCTTTGCTTCTATCGCAGGGCTTGGTGTTGAGGAAGCCGTACAGCAGCCAGGCGGTGTGCAGCATGTACACCACGAAGACCCCGAGCAGCATCTTAGCGATGGAGCTCCTCTTGGTGGAGGAGTCGCCGCTGTCCCCGGCGGGAGCCTTGGACTGACACGATGGAAACATGGCAGCAGCTAATACAGATCCTAAACAACGAAATTATCAAATAAAAATAAATATATATGGGACCTGGTTTTGAGCACGGAGCTGTTTAAAATCGGATATAGCGTAAACACAATGAAATCCCCACGCTTCCTCCCCGCCACAGCATCCTTCCGGTTATCAAAGATGCTGATGCTGACTGCACCGTTTTTAATAAATCAGAGTGCAAATCTCGCGAAGCCTTAGCAATAAATCCACAGCATGGTTTGTTCCGGGTGCCACCAAAACCTGAAATAATGCTAGATCAATACGCAAATAATGATCGTCTTTTTGGCACGGGGCATGTCTGTCTTTGGAAGTCCATTTCCGCCAGTAGCCAAAAGTAGCTTCCTCTCTAAAAAAATTGTTTGAAATAATAAAAAGATATCTAGAAATTCCAATACGCTTTTTAATTAAAGTCATTATTTCGATGTGGGTTTTTTTTTTATTATGATTTTCATACTCAGATTCTTTGAAATAACTGTTATTTACTCTCTCATAATCTCATAATTCATTAATAGGGAAGAATTTACTTAATTATAATAATGATGACTTCATATTTATTGCATTTCACTTACAATCTATCTCTAATTTTGACTTGCCTTTTTATGTATTTATTATTTAATGAATTTTTTTCTGACCTCTTCAGCTCAAAATATTGGATTTTGTTGGTTAACCTTTTTCAGTATGAGTGATTGTCTTCATCGGAGACGATCTTCGGCAGCCGGTGCCTGTCACCGCGGTGCATTGTGGTCTCCTACAGTGCTCTTGCATGTCCTCTTGTTGTTTGCTAGTTTGCTAACTTGGACAACTTGTTTTTTGGATTACAATCACAATGTGTTGGTTGAGGAAAGTACGTAGTTAGCGGCAGGTAACTGACATGTGTTACATGTAATTGTGGCTACTGTCAAGAATTACATAGAGAATTATCTAAGAACACATTAAACTAATACTAGTGACGTTAGCTGAGATAACTAGCACAACTTACATACTTACTGCAGCTCTCTTACAAACAATATGAGGAAAGTATGACATTAAAGTTGCCTACGTTAGCCAATATTTGCGCATAATTAAACTATAGCATATTACTTATTGTCATTTTTCTTCATGCGGATATGGACTGTCTTGTCTAAAAAACTGACATTCAACTTGAAGAACCACTATCAATATGACCTAGGAACACACTTACCTTGTTCCTTTGCTTATGTAGGCTAAAGCTTGCCTTCCTTTTCTCCACCACCCTTCACTGTGGTTATATGTCTTAATATCTCCTTGCTGCTGTAGTGGCTGTGTGTGGATGAAACTACACAGGCTGCTTCTGGCTGGCTGTATGAACTGCACTAGGATGTATCTGCCATTTGGTAGGAGCTTTTATCCAAATCGCCATTTGAGCTCTGTTAGTTTTTTGTCTTCAAGAATCGGTGGGACTCGAACCCCTGTCCTTTGGAGTGCTCGTGCATTACTCTACCCACTGAAGTACACTGTGCCTCTTGGAAATACAAAACTGGGACTGTTCATCCGGACTTACAGTGGTGTTGGTCCAAATGCCATCTGCAGTCAAACACAGTGGGTGTCAACATGTCAACTCAGAAGATCTCAGTCTGCTGCGGTCAGGAAAGAGAAGCTGCTACAAGAAGGAGGTGCTGCATGGCCTGGTAAGAGTGATAGATAGTGAGCATGTTGACGAGTTGATTTGGTCTGTTTCCACACCATTATATTGTTCACAATTCAGTCTTTTATTTGTTGATTAACACCAAATTATCCTGATTCCAGTTCTACATGTTTTTCAATAAGGTTATAACAATTAATCATAATGTATCATTGTATTTCAATGCCATATCGATTAGTACAATATTCAAAAGACAGGAGGTGATATAATGCAACATACGTCAAAATGCAATTAAATAGAAATTATATTCAACACAATTAAGAACAAATCTTTTTCTAGTACAACTTGGAAAAAAAAACTTTGTTTTATTATGTACTTTTTAAGGGAAATAAAATAATAATGCAAAATCATTATTTTCACAATGGTAGTCATATTGAAATTCCAATTTCCATCAAAGAAATCACAATTACTAAATTGTTTCAGATTAGAAAAGCCCTTATTTCAATATATGTCCACACTGTAACCTCTCTGATAAATATATAGGCTATATCATTCTCCTATATTAGTTTGTCACAGGTACAATAATGGTATTACTGTAATGTTACTGAGGACAGTGATTCACATTTAGTAAAACTGAATCAAAACTTTACTTATTTTTATCAAAATTCAAAGTGACTAGACAGAACGTTTGGTTTACTTGCCTGAAGGATTGTTTTCTTAACATCAAATTAATTTCCAATATTTTGTAGCAACTCTATTGTTAATGTTCATTTTTCCAAATGCATCTGGCACCTTGAAATTGTGCACCACTGTAAGTACAGGAGTGTAGATTTCTAGTAAATCCGGTTTACTTAAAATCCCCAGCGATTGTAGCTGATTATGCACATTGTGTATACTTGTTTTTGTTATTTTCCTTGCTGTTTTTATATAGGAAACATATTGCTTTACACAAGGTTTAACTTTGTATTTTCTGTGAACAGTGTCCTTTATCCGCCACGGAGGGACAGACGTTTCCAGTGTGCCTCCAGCTTTTGTAGTGGTAAGAGAGCCTAAACATTACAGTGGTTCCTGAACAGTAGTAACTATCGTTGATTATAAGTTAAATGCAATTCATGGGAATATGCTTTTGGAGGAAATGTGTTTGATTTTACTGCTGATTTTCAAATGGATATATCCCATATGTCCCAGGTGTTATCAAACAAACATGTACAAAGTACATTAGTACTGATGTTAGAGTAATTGTGATTGCTAGAGGTGATCAGCTTTTTGTTTATCTCTGTCATAGATGAAGTTTGACCAAGAGGGAAATGTGACATCGTTTGGTAAGTATTGCAAATTAAATCAACTTGCCTGTCTTTTTATTTGAGGAGAAACCTCTCAGTTGACACTGATGATTAGTAATATGTCTTCTCCTGGGCTAAGACCACATTCACAATACTGACAGTGTTTTTCTCTGTATGTCATTGAATCCAATAATATGTTCTCCCTTGCTCTGTTTTTTTTTTTTTGCCAAAGAGATGCTAAAATCTGTATCTAGCAACAACAGCAAAAAATTAGGAGAGCAGTATTTTTTTCAAAATTTTATATTTTCCCTGTTATGAAAACAACAAAAATATGAAACAGAATTTTCTCGTCACTATTTTCCAACCCTCTCCTTCTTCTCATCTTCTTCCCTTTTTCTCTTACAGATAAGAAGAAAACCGAGCTTTGCCAGGAGCTCAGTCTCCAGGCCAGAGACCTTCGCTTTCAGCACAGTACCAGCCTCACAACCAGGAACAACTGCATCATCATACGGATGCAGGTATGCTCTTTTTCGCTCGCTCACTTTGTGATTGATCAGACATTTCTTTAATTCAACAAAATCTAGATAATTTTTATCTAGCTGTTAATTAAGAAAAATGTTGCCAACATAAGTCTATTTCAAACCCATGGTAACAGTAGTTATTCCATGGCAGCCAATATGACTATGGTTTTGCATTATACTCAAATCAACTACTCCTGCTGATGCACCTGCATTGTTTGAAAGCAGCGGTAGTTCGCCCCTTGTAAATTAGACCCAGTGAGGATTTAAGGAAGTAAAATAACCTGAAGGATCCTCTAATTATTTTTAAGCTTTAAATGATTTAATTTACTTTTTTTCTTACCATAATTAAGACAAATGTAGGGATTTAGAACAACAAAACATTAAAGCAAAGTGTTTAATGAACCAATGCATGGAGTTGCAGTTGGACAAGGCATTACATCAGCGTAAGGAAGAACTGGACTCTTGGATCACACACTCCTGATGTCCTCTCTTACAGTCCTCGAGGACATTCCTTAGCCCGCACCACCGTGGCCTCTCCTACAGAGGGCGTCCTGGAGAAGGTGTAGTAGAGGACGCAATCATCACTGCTCCTCATCTTACAGAAAGCAATAGATTCTCCTGGTTGAGGCATATCATCTTGTGTCTCCACAAGTGTCACAGTGAGGTAGCCACACTCTTGATCACACCTGTAATGAGTGAGAGAAAGCAGTCGAGAGGTATTATATCGCAGTGAAGTGAAACTAGTGTGTAGTGTAGTGGCATTTTGATGGAGATACCCATGGTCTAATGAGACAGCCAATGTTAACAGCAATAAGATAAGATAACATCAATAAGTATTTAGATGTATGGCAAAACTTAATATGTGTCTGAGGAAGAATAAAACAGCAACTGCAACATCAAATTTTCATTGTTTTGGTCATTTAAAGATTTTTTTCTTAAGGCACTGTTTATTTTTGTTTTGATAGGGCCAGAGGCCTGTACTACGAAGCTGGTTCAACCTAACCTGGATATGTTTGAGTTAGCCGGTTGGCCTAATCCAAAACATACGTGCTCTCGCTAAACGGTACTACGACGCGGGTTATCAAGTGGATCGCTCAAGCCAGCCGTGCCCTATCTAGTTGGGTGCGCGTTCACATGAAAGGGGTGGTATTTGGAGCATTCGACCAATCACAAACATGGAGAAGCATACTGACAGCGCAGCGTCATACTTCCTGAATGAAAAGTGAACTTTAATATTAGACAAATATGAAGAAGTTAAACTTAAACATCCATGACTTAAACACTTTATCCAGGATAAAAGCCACATAGCTGCACCTGCAAGGTGAATACAGCTGGTAAAAGAAAAAGTGTTTTACATTAACAGGTTTATGATATCACTGCCCCGTCTAAAACACGAGTGGATCTGACTTTAATTACATTTGACTCGAGTGTTTCGTCAACTTAATGTGTTGCTTAAAATAATACTTCTGCATACAGTATGTGACACTGTGAGTGTTGCACGGCCAGATACGGCTCAGCTGACTCAGATAAGGAAATATGATACATTATGATGTGATATGCCGCGGACTGTACTTAATGTTACTTTGATCCGGTTACTTATGTTATGGCAGATATTTAAGTAAGCTTTCTTAACGCTAATGTTATAATAGTCAGATTGCTCTGAAGATGGGAGGTGATATTCTATTAATTTTCACGTTCACACCTCAGTTGATTTTTGCCGTCCGTCTTTCCTCTAACGGCAGTTTTTCTGTATTTCCTTTCTCCTGTAATGTTACTTGATCGCTTTAAACTCCGCACACAGAGCTCTGATTGGTCAGCAGGCAGTGCTTTCACTGAGTTGAGCTCTTAGCCTGCAACCTAACCTGCTCCGGGGCAGGTTAGCCGCACAGCATAAGTTAACATGGAGATCTAGCCTGCTAAAAAGAGAACCAGCTTCGTAGGACCGGAAACCCCAGGTTTTCCCTGAAGTGCTAACTTCAGGGAAAACCTGGGGTTTCCGGTCCTACGAAGCTGGTTCTCTTTTTAGCAGGCTAGATCTCCATGTTAACTTATGCTGTGCGGCTAACCTGCCCCNGAACGGCCCGTTCTAACAGCTGTTCACCAGCGGTGTTGTCTGTGCCACAGTGACTCCGCACAGTTAACGAACGCACCGTAGATAATGTAGCTGACCCTCATCCCGGAGCAGCAGAGTTCAGCCGGCCCGACAGGCAGGAAGACACGAGCACCCAGTTCGCGCTTCATATATTAAAAAATAACACCATGCGACATAACAGCTCGCGACCGCAGATGTTATGTCGCGAACAAATGTAAATTATATTTGACGCAACTTTAGTTACATTTCCATGACTTTTCCAAAACTTTGGGGGAAATATTGTTTTCCATAACTTTTCCAGGACCTGGAATTTGCATTTTGAATTTCCATAACTTTTCCAGGTTTTCAATGACCGTACGAACCCTGCATATCATTCTACACTAAATAGACCGGTGTGTAGGCAATGTCTTATATATCCAAAAATTGAGAAGAGAGAATCACAGGTTAGAGATTTAGCATAATGTTAAACAATGGGTTCCTGTTAATAAAAACATTCACACCCTTAGTCAATCAATTGACGTTGTCTCGTCTGACTATATATTTTCTCAAGAGTGTAAGGGTGTGTACGGAATGCACTTGATTAACAGCTTATTTACTCTCCTATTGAGTTGCACGGGACTGATTCCTAGCAAAGCTTCACCACACTGTAACCTGTTAATATGTCCAACTAGGCAGAGTCATTGCAAATACGTGTGGTTCTGCATGGCCTTGAAGGAAAAGTAACCTCTTTGACCAAATAAATAAATAAATCATTTCAAAACTGATTTCTATACATAAGCATACCTCTATTATTACTGCATGTCTGAAGGTAGGAGGGTTTGGGTTACCTTTCCTTGCAGTATGATTGGATACAGCCATTGACCTCATGGACCCAGCAGATTGAGGGTGACAGTCACATAAAGATGAGAGCATGGACATAAACATGAAGAGAGAGAGGAGAGCCATCTGCAAATAGAACAACGTAGGCCTACATGATTAATAGCTTCTTAATTAACCCTCTGACAGGAAAATTACTAACATGCTCATACTGACAACACGAGACACTACTGTATTTTCAGTTTGAGCAAGTCGTAGAAACTTGATCTGTATGCCAACGGTTCGGAAAATAACCAACAACCGAATGTTGTATGAGCTCAGAGAGTTGGTTTCAAATCACGAGTTTTAATACTGTAACACAGCTACAATTACTTTCAGTTTGGATACTGAGAGCAGGCACAGAGACAGTGTATATGGAGCAGGGTACATAATGTTAAAATTGTACAGCTTTACATTCAGTTAGGGCTTGACAACGTAAGTAGTAGCGCGAGCCATCAATTGAAATGCACCACTAAAGTAAGATAACTTTACGTTATTGGCTACCGTTATAACACAGTCACATTCACACCGCTTTATCCAGAAATAAGAAACGTTACGTCAGATGAAAGTCCTACAAGTAACATTAGCTGATTTAATCATATAACTTCATTTGAAATCTCCATAAAATATCACCAACACTAACCCTTTAGGCCTAGTAAGTGTCGTTGTTAAAGTTGAATATACTGTTTGCTGGAATGCCGGAAAAACATAAACATTTCCGTACTCGTGATTTCAGCGTGCTAATAAAGGTAAACTTCCGGTCCCGCTGTTTTCACAATAAAAGCACGATCTTTACAAATTAAAGGGAAGAGTTTGAGTTTAAACTATGGTTTCAAAACCATAGACTGGTTTAAGGTTTAAACCCCAAATTATTTTCATATAGAATAATATATTAATGAAAGACCTCATGATAATCAGCCTATTCAACAGCAAGGTATGCATTCTAAAACTACATAAAAATAACCAAGGCTTTAATAAAAAAATAAAATGCATTTTGATGTTTGGCCTGAATTTGTGCCAATTGCAGTTGGAAAGCGGACAGCGCCACAATACGCCACTGTTGGAATGCGTTGATTAAAAGTGTTTTTTTCTTCCTTTTAATAGTTTAAAACGCCACTATATTTATTTTTTAGAAAACACATGCTTATAACACTTGATGGTAGCCTAGAGGTCAACACATTGGTCTGGCCGGGGTCAAACAGCCATTGATAAGATTTCCACATCTCTTTGTCAACAATCTAAGTTGCCAAATAAATGTCCAGTGTTTGGTATGTATTGTATCGACGCTGCAGAAAGCTACGTGGCGTCCATCCCTATTCTCTACCACTAATCTTCTGCATTCCACTGCAGCCATTGACATTCACTGTCAATGTCCCAGCCTGTGAGAAGGGCCAGATGAAATATTTATTTTTACTTTCCTTACACCCTACTATGACCTTAGTATCTTACTTTATTTTTTAACTTATGTACAGAAGTTAAACTCCTGTTTACTTTCAGCGATTTGCTTTTTACATAATGATATATGACTTCCAGTGTGTTTTTTGGAAAACAGCTCAGCTTTTGGCTCCACTCACATGCTGCTGACGTGGTTTAACACAGTAGATTGAAGCCTTCTTTTGGCACCTCAATTGTAAGAGGATGTTTCTTGAGGCTGGGAGGAAAAAAATGTCTGCACCACTGTGCAAACAAGTAGAACAAATGCTACAACAGCTTTTACCTGCAACTACATCTAACACGTCATAATACCAGCTCAATACTAACTATAAGTGTCTGGACATTAATCTAACAATTGGATTGCTGTTGAACAATTTGCTTAGGAGTCTGTTCTTGGTTTGGCCTTTTTCACATAATATAGATGTTCTAAATTAGTGTGTGTAAATATATAATTATTGCCTGAGAGGTAAGTACACACTGATATATTGTTTATGCTTAATGGAAATATATGTAGAGTGGGGATGAATGGGAAGCAGGTCAATAACACAAAGTAAGAAGGACATGAGGTTTTTAAATATCAGCACACATGCTAGGGAGTGAATAGAATCAGTCCTGTTGTGTCGGTTATAAGAGAGCAAAGAAAAGCTAAATAAAGACAAGACAATATTAGAATTGCATTAAAGCCACATCTTTTATGCAGTAGTGATCCTCATAACATACAGAATTTCAGCAATACACTTCTCTATTGGACACCTCATGTGCTTATCTTATCCGAGCATAGATTTTTTGTTGGTCTCCACCATGTTTATGTGTTAAAAATCAACGATTCAGCTAATTCATTATCAACTTTGATTACTATGACAATTAAAGCTTCAATATATTTACAAGTAAGTTATTATTCTACTAAAAATGATCCATACAAAAAACATATACAAAAAAAACAGACATTTGATAACGTTGAATTGTTTGTCAAATACATTACAAATATTTGAAAACAAAACTGAGCCTTAGGCACAAAGAGGGAATGAGTAAAAACGGTACAATTTTAAATGTATCACTGACATAATGAACCTGGATTATAGTCTAAGCAAGTATAAATTAATACATATCAATTATAGTATCATCAGCATACTGTATACACTTACAGAGACCCCAGACAGAAAAAGGTTATTGTATGTAATCACCTGTTGATTGCTAGAAAGTGCTGACCTTTTATAACTCTGTCGGAGTAGGGTCTATGTCAGACATCTTTCTGATATTTCTGATGGTATGGATGTCCAAAATGTCCCTTTATCCTGAAATCCAGTTGAGGTTCTGTGCAGCTCGTTCAAAACAACTGATAAAATGTATAGAAAAATGTGTTGTGAGAGTTCAAGTGCCTCACGTATCATGTTACCAACAGTAAGTCACAGTGGGATAGTTATAAGAAGTCTTGTTTTATTCCAGCCGTTTGCGTATGGAAAATCTATTATTACTTTAAAATAATGTGTTCTATTATGGCAAATTATATCATGTAAACACTAATAAGTAGGGCTATAGGACAACAAATAAATGTAACCGCATTCACTTTTAACGAACAAAAAAAAAACACTACAAATTTGACTTTAAACTCAAAATCAACAAAGTCTCATGGTGGACAACTTAATCCAAACTTTGTATCTATAGATCACTGATCAGTCATTTGGATGACCAAAGGTGGTTACAAAAATTATTTGACTTTTTCCAAAGATTATAAAGCCAAAGATATGACTACTTCAAGACCTTTGTCATAAGAGACTATGTGAAAAGGTTTGCTCTTTGACACATAAGGTAGCTGGCTGGTGATAAACTTCAACGAGGGCTGATGTAAACAAATAAAAAAGGCTGTATACAAGTAAGAATTGTGTCATTCTCCTTTGGTTGGCTAGTTGAGGTAAAGATTCATAATTAGAAAAACACTTGTTTAACACCTGACACTCTCATATTATAACTTATGTAACATTAAGTAAATAAATAACTGACTCGTGGTGATCAGGTCAGTAACGTTGCCACTGTTTTCATAGCTGCTGTTGAAGCTGTACAGTTGACAGTCACAGAGGAATGTGCTTTTGCCACTTCAGAAATCATTGGTCACTTCTACACTTCCTGAATTATAGTAATCAGCCTTGGCTCTGCCTTAGCAATCACCAAAAAGATAGTCCTGAAAATAAATCTAATGGTTGAAGGCATACACAAGGCTATCACTGTATGAATACAACAAAATAATAAAGTCTCCTTTAAAAATGGCCTATAGAAATATAATCTTTAAACATCAAACACGTGGGAAAAGCTACTAAAAAATATTTTTCCAAAAGACAAATAAAGCATATTTATATTTGGTCATGTCTATAAGTGTCAAATATCTGTGAGGAAACAACACAAAAGATCTACCTACAGAGTAACACAATCTCTCATGCCAATACTGGACAGCATATATATAAAAAAAAAAAACATTAATTCCTCAAAACAATAAAAATAAAATTAAAATAAAGCGTACAGAAGATGAAATGTAATAATGAAAATGTCAACAACACCGAAGATTTGACCTCAAAAAGAGGAAAAAGGGTTTACATTTTTTAAGGCCCCTTGTAATAATATTCCGATATGTAGTACCATTTTATTTAACGGCATTCAAAATGCGTGAAGGCTATTCTATTTACTTAAGGTTGGCAAGCTGATCCAGGACAGTTCAGGCTGTAGCTCTGTGAAGGGAACAACTGATCTATGTGCAGAACAAAGCCCAGCCCACTGCGGTTCAGCTAACAGAAGTAATATCTAACAGCCCAGTGTTTTCAGTTAATTACCTTCCTAGACTAGAACAGTTGTGATGTATTGTGATATGCAAACAATTTCTCCACTGAAATTGAGGATGTGCATTCAATCTGTAACTCTTTCTCCATAATGGAAGGATGGGAATTTTAAGTCTTATTTCTTCCCTTATGAGCTCTTCTTGACCAACACTTAACATCATATGGCGACATGTGAAACAGTAGCAGAGGGGAAAGGCAGGAAATATGCAGGGAAATGTTGGTAGCGCTGAAGAAAAGCAGAGGAACTTGACTTGATCTTCAGTCATTTAAAGGTCCATTTGAGTCCTGATTGAGAGGAATCAGACTCCATTGAAAGTCTTTATTGGTCTGTTTAGGCGTAGAACTCCTTGGTAGACGCTTTGTGATAGGCTGTTGTTGAAACTTTGTTGTCCCCCAGGGCGTAGCTTCCTTCGTCCTTCTTCTTCATACGGTAGGCGAGGAGGAGGAGGAGGAAAACAGCAAAGAGGAATCCAACTACTCCGCATGCTATAACCGCTGGAAATGGCATGAAAAAACGAGGTTGAAATACATTTCTGATGGATAATCTTAACATCAAAGAAATGGTTTATCATAAATAACCACATCTGCTTAGTCTTTAAATTCTCCCAATGAATAACCACATTAAACTAGACACATGAGGACAATAAGGGAAGTCATAATCTGTCCTTACCTGCCAGCACCTCCGTCCTCTCCCACATGTTCTCAGAGGTCACCTGTTCAGGAGCCTCCATGTCATACATTCTGCTGCCTTGGCCATTATTTGGCAAAATCTCGTTTTCGTCCGGTACGATCAGGACTTCATTTTCACGGTTTTTCGTTGCCGAGTCATCCAATCTGTCCAGACTGTTGTCCTCGCTGATATCTTTGATTACAGTGATATCCATGCCGAATTCGGTGTCATTATTTGTAGTGGTAGGCATGTTGGTGGAGCTGGTCATCTGTGTGAACCAATCAGCAGTTGGACCTGCCACCTGGAGAAATATATGCAGTTAATGCACTGAGTAACTTAGGGCTGGAATAAACATTGAGACATAATATGGATTTGATACTATCCTTGTTACCACCATATTAATCATGAAGTGGAAGTTCAAATAAATTCTAAAGGGGGTTTGGTTCATACAGTTGGAAATCAATACAATATTTAATGACAGTATTCCATTAGAACTTGCATTTGCTAACATATATTAGCAAAAGGTGTGTGTGACTTGCTTAAATAGATAGTTCACAAATAGAGTGGTATTCTACCGTTTCCCACAGTCAGATACTAATGAATTCCATAAGACAGACCTTTTTGTATTTGGTTAGGTCTGAAGTATAGCAATATTAGGCTATGTTGGCTCTATTGATGTTCCTATGGGATCAAATAACATTGTCATGATCCCGTAGGCATCTAGGAATTGAGCGAAACTAAGCAGGTAAACTTAAGTGGGATTAGTGGGGGGCGCCTTTTTTCCAAGCTTTGAATATTGGGAGGCCGCCAGTCTCTCTTATATTATTAGAGGTTTTGTCTTGGGACATACTTTATCAGGATTCTTACTTTAAAATAAGAATTTGTTTAAAAAGGGAAAGCAATATTTTACCTCCTTGTCACTCTTGTCCCCATTAGAAGAGGTGAATGGCGTTGTCTCCGTGTCCTTCTCTTCTGTCAGTGCATCCTGACCGTCTGCTGCTGTGGTCGATGGCTTGTGAGGAGAGTCTGATGTTGGCTGTGGTCGAGTTGGAACCATTTCTTTGGAAACGGTGGTCTCGGAGAAGTTGAGGAACCTCCTGATCATCTCCTCTTTATCTGTGAAAGCTGAGGTAGAGGAAACAAAATCAACAAAAATCTAAAACTAGTGAGTTTCCCTTCAACCTGACATTATTAAACGGTAAACCCTTTTAGCTTTATATATACTCAAACGTTATTGTAAAGATGACATTTTGTAGGTACATGGTTTGAATTGGATAGCAACAAAATGCTAAAATGTGTCCTCGAGGTGTTAATAAACTAGTTCTTCTCACTAGCAAGAGGAATGCAATCTCTGAGATCTGCAACGTCACTAAACCGCCTTTCTTCTCATGTTGAGATCACAGTAAACTGTTCCAACACATTATTCACTGTGGGCATAAAGGTGAGTCATCATGGAGGAAGTGAGTATCGGACATCTGTGAGGTTCCAATAAAACCTCACCTGGCTAACAGTTCCACTTCACCCCGGGACAAACATCTGGCACATCTGAGTGCTTCTGTGTCTCAGTATGCCAGCACTTGTGTCTACAGAGCACATATTGCTCATTCATCTGATGGAATATATTAGGAAACACACCTTGAGATAAGGAAAACCTTTGGCAAACTAATTGCTTGTAAGAAATCTTGGCCCCGTTTCCCAGAGGCCTTTAAAGACTAAGATGATCTCATACCCAATTGTAAGTTTAGACACTTTTACAGAAATAAAAACCCTGAAATGTGGAACAGAAGAAACAGAACATCTATAACATTCACTTTGTGTTAAGATTTCTAAACAGAAATGATGATGTTCAAAAGAGTATGAAAAAACAAAAAGGGAAAACTTCCCAAAGTCTGTAAACTCAGCTTTATTTGAACATGTACAAGCAGTGTCCATGTTTCTGGTATCTTTCATTTCATCTATTGCCATGAAAGTGTCATAAACCTTTCTTCTTTTTAGAAAAGTTATTATGTATTAAAGAACCTTGACTCGCCTATTCTCAAAAACAATATCAACCGATCAATGTAAGGTGGAAACCAAAATGATTTCCATTGCTAAAAATGATAACAATAGAAAAACAAAGACGGTGTTATCCTAACCGTAGTCTCCGGATCCAGAGCCCGAACCGTCTACACCATCCTCATCATCTATGGGGAGGTCACCTGACGTCCGGCCCTCTAGGTACATGTCCTCTGTCGTGGAGAACGGTGTTTGGGATGAGACCAGCAGCTGGAGGAAGAAGACAAATATATAACAGACATTATAAATCAAGCAGAAGAGGAATACTAAAGGGGAGAGAAAAGGAGAAGAGAAACAGGGACTCGTAGATCTCCTTTATTCACACATGGAGCATTCCTTCTACTTATTGAAAACATGTGAGCGTCTCCCGTTTGGGATCCAGATATGATCTAGAACAGTCATTGACCTGTTCTGGCCAAACATACCAGTGTTCCCTCTGTGTGTTTAACCATAGTGTGTATTGCATCCATACGCAAGTATATACAGTCAATATAGGCTGCTTTTTTGTTTTGTTACTTTCATGTGTTCTCACAGACAGCCAGAGTGTCTTAGTGTCTTTGGGTGGAGGCAGGAGAGAGAGAGCAATTTCGAAGGCAACGCACAGAACAGAGAGGTGGACACACACAGACAGAAATCATCAGGAAGCCTCCCACTTACCCAAACACTAGACAAAGGAGTGCGATGATAACTCTACTTGTCTCGTCATGTAAAGCTTAGTATGACACAAGAAACTACGCTCCAACTAGAGGCACTAGGTATGTAGATACAGATCTTCATCAGCTTTTAAAAAATAAGAATGATTTAATGTCTGAGACAAAGAAAGCTGTGATAACTTCAGAAAGATGGTAATATAACAACAGCTAAAAAAAAACACACATCAAAAGAAAGCAAACTGATAATGAGTCTGAAACTCAAAAACAGAAGAAAGGCTGAGCAGATGTGGCTGGTAAGACACCCACCCACCCACACACACACACGAATATGGCCCATTGAGACTTTAAATATGTCTGGTATGTATACTATGCTTCCACTAACACAGGTGCTGAGAGAGGGAGAAAGGAAGCGAAGGAGAGCGGGAGACAGGGAAAGTACTGTATGTTTCTCATAGAACAGGTGCTGGGCATAAAGGAGGAGGATTTCTCAGTACAATAAATATTCACACAAGAGGGAAATGAGGGCATAAATACATGATAAAGCATCCCATGTCAACACTGCCCTTTCACTTGGCAGTTTGCATGATATAAGGAATCTGAAAAGTGGGTGTTTTTACAATAACTGCAGACCAACGGACTTAATCTAATAAATGCAGTTGCTTCATTCTGATTGGACTTGATCTTTCGTATAAATAACTACTGTAGAAACTTTTTGGGCTTATTTTCCTCCTGAGAAATCTGATATTTGTATTCTAGCTATCTGAGATGTAACAAAAGAGACCTATTGTGAAATAACTAAATCTAGATTTAAAAAAGGGAAGATGTTAGCTTTACACCGAGGCACGTGATCGTCATACTGAAACTGAGCTAGATTCCCTTTTCAGAGCACAACAGCATGAAGTACACTGTTGATGTGTGGAATCAAAACCTAACTTTAGAACTATTTTGAGCTCTGGGAGAAAGCTCAGAAGTCAAACAAAAGTCTGTATGAAGTCAAATGATCATATTTTTACAAAATGATAATTTAAGTCTAATGATATGTATGTATTGCAAAGCTCCTTTGCATTGTGAGCAGGCGTAGAAGGGTTGCAGAAAATCAGTATTGTTATTATTAGCTATCAGCACCATTGTTAAAAATGTGCGGTCAATAGACTCATTTAATATTCTACTGCAGACTATTTAACATTGACAATGAAACAAGAAGCCAAAAAGAATCAGCTGTCCCTTTCCCTCTCCTTTTGCCAGAAAGAAGTTATGCGTAACGGGTTACTGGAAAACTTGAATCAGTCAGTCAGAGGTTTCACACATCTGGAAAACATACACAATGTACAGAGCTCTCACACACATACAAACAGACTGTATACAACCATATGGTGTCCTGCTGCGTTGTCCAAGTGAGGACAGTTTGCTGGAAACAGCCAGGTCTCAGTGATAGTACAATACAGAAATTCAATATGGGGGAGTGAGTGCTTTGGAGACTGCATTATAAAATCCTGCAATCAACATTCCATATTTTTGGAGTCTGTGGAATGCACAGCTATTATTACAGTGAGCTGAAAGCATATACTGTAAGTCAAAGATAATGAGAGAGCAGTCGGGTCAAGAGTGAGGCTGTGCAACAGCCAACAAGCACACAACAGACCTGTCACCACATGAAGACAGCAGCAGCAGCAGCACCGAACGCTGCGTGTGCAGGGGTGTTTGTTTGACCAACGCTGAAATGAGTCATAAAATGTTTGACCCCCTCAAAGTCAAATGTGTCAACAGAAGTTATATTCTCCAAATGCTTTACAAAAGGGGGAAAATAATTTATAGTAAAACGGCATGGACAGAGTTTGGAAGGACTTTAAAGAATTATGAATCTTTCAAAAGACATAATGGCCAAAACGTCAGCGGAAGCCAGAGTGTGCACTACTGACTACTTTCAAGTCTCCTTACGGTGATCAGAACACTTGGTTTGGTTACTTTTTTAGGATTTTAAAGTTTACACAGATGGACATGGGTATAAAATAGAGACATAATATTGCCTTGGGTTCATATTTTGAGAATATATTGATGTCCTAATGGAGATATGTATCATAGTTATCTGATCTATTGACCCCAAAATAAAGGTCCTAGTCCACATTATCTGGCAGATTGTCATCAGGTGAAAAAAAAAATATTTTGCGGTTGAGCAAAAGAGTGTCTAAGCGCAAATATAAAGTAACAACATCACTGGTATTTACCATTTTAGAAAAACCAAGTCGTTTAATGTTTTACTCTTGTTAACTCATTTCTAGTCTAGTTGTACACGTCAGATATAAAACCAACAGTCTGGCAGTAAATGTAACCCTGACAGACCAAAAAGGATGTGAACAGTCTCCCCTCCATATAAAGAACAGAGCTGTGACTAATATGCAGTGACTAATCCTGCAATACTTGTAAACATCTAGTAAGTAGACCATCTGTATACCAAGTCTAAACAGCTGGAGGAAATCAGCATTCATGGATTATCAACACTACTTCAAAAAAAACGTGTTGGTCTTTCTGTCAGCTGTGTTTAATTAGCACAAAAAACCCATTAATAATAATTAGAGCAAGGATCATGCTTACTCTTGCCTATGGCAGGGAGTGTAAACCCATGCAGATATATGCTTGCCTGGACTGGCCCAGAATGACTCACTGTGAGTCATCCATCCAGAAAATGATACAATTAGCAGGCCAAAAACTCACGAGATGGGAGCGATGTCAGCGAGTGACTAACTCGTAGTTCTACAGCCAAATTCGGAGAAAAAGTTGTAATATACACGGTCATCCATCACGCCCAGCAATTTAGAACCAAAGTGTATTAGTGGCTTAAAGTAATAGGAAATCAAATAGTTTAATTACATTTTTTACAAAAAAAAGTTTACCAGTAATCACATCCTTTTATCCTGTGTTTAAACACATGGGGCCTGAGGTGGGAAACATCCCATTAAACTGTATTTATGCCCCCCACTGTTTCAGTATGCAGCTAATGTTTACTGCCTTGCCAGCTCTGCTACACACAGCCAGCAGCATGGTCTCAGGTTTCAGCTCTTTCCCTTTCACAATAATCACTGCATGAATCCTACATTTCACACATTTCTGGAGAGGTGGCACATTTCCCTGGCCCTCATTTGGGACTTTTTATAGGGAATAAATCATGGTGCCAGCATATTTCCTATTTCATAGAGCTCTCAGCTGTCATTTCCAGGTGTTTTCCAGCTTTCCAACAGACACATATATGGAAAGGAGGGGAAGGACAGGGAGAGATTTAATCTTCTAGTTTAGAAACAGTCTGACTTTTCAGATCAGGCAGCATTTCGTAATTCTTAGCATTCCATCTTTAACTAAATATGTATTTGTTTCTGATAAATCATTTCATATTAAATTTGACAAAACTTGACACATGCCCTCTGTGTGGGTGGAAAATGCAGGCCAGGTCTCGAGGTTTGGGTATAAATGCCAAAGCTGTGAGCTACAGGCTGAACAGACTTTGGTCCTCAGAGAACTTGAAGCCAACTGGAGGCATGCAGTGGTTTGAGTAGATAATAAAGTAAGAATATCAGTAACCCTGCATTAGCCCGTGGTCCCAGGTTAGCTTTCATGTAAATAGCCTAGGCATGTGTTGCTTCGAGGACAACACTGTTAGATAAAACAATTATCATGCTTATTTTCATGTTGATAATTTGTTGGTACAGGCTTACAGAAAAATATCAACGACGACCATACAAATAAGTATAATTTGAAAATATACACAAAACAAGCTATGACGGTTTAACTTTAACTGTTGGGCTTGAGTGGAAAAACACTATTAAAACTAAACGCTACGGAGTCTCGCATTCTTTAACTCAACAGCTAATACATGTCTTTTCTCAGGATAAAAGAAAGAAAAAAGTCAATGTTATTATTGCAGTACACTGAGGAGTTAAATAGGGATCGTTTTTTGAAAAATAAAACCGAAATTAAAAAGTACTTACTTTTTCACTGATAAACCCAGTCGCCAGTCCAACGAGGAACAACAACCACATATTTCTCATTTTAACTTCCGAAAAGAGACGACAGTTGTAAACTAATTATATACACTGGAAAAGCTAAATTCTTCGTTACGATAATTCCTCGTCGCGTTTAAGGCTGGGGTCTTCGGCTACTTTGTTCAATCTCGACACCTTGATGGACGGTTGGACGCGTTGTGGTGAGGAGTTCCTCTGGAAAAGTTGTTTGGACTCGCAGTGCAGCGTGGCTCCGTGGTGACGTCAGCACGGCGTGACGTCCATTGGGGGCGTGTCAACACACGCACACAAACAGACACACACGCCTCTACTCGTGTAGAATAGTTATATAACAAATATAATCAAAGTCAAAATGTAATAATTTATTTTTATAATACTTATTTATTTCTATATATATATGCATATTGAAAATCTATGCTTTCACGATTTATGTAACACCTCCTCCACTACTTCGATGTCCACATTCGGCAAGGAACATTTACAAAGAAACTGTTTCGTGTGATCTGGGTTTTCAAATATCCATCACTTTGTTGGCTCTAATCATTTCCTCCCACTTCAGTAATTATAACATTTTAATTTTACAACTTTTACGGTGGAGAAAAGTAAGATTTTTTTAGGGTCAAAGGCTCACCACCTAAAAGCTGCAAGATGTCACACTTGTTTATAGAATTGAGTTTCTGTGACTAAAGCCAAATCAGATCAACTGTGATTCAATGTGGTACTAAAAAAATAACCAGAACATTTCCAAAAGTGAATATTTTTTTAATAGGCATCAAATATGATAAGGGGATACAATAGTCAAAAGGTGAAGTATTTGGCTGGAACTTGAAAAATACACAGTAATATAAGGCTTTCCATCATGTTGGGCTTTTGACCCCTGAAAATAAAGCTCGATCTACAGGTGATTCCTCACTACCTGTTACATATCTGTCATTGTCAATCACATCAGATAATTATGTGATAAATTCTTGCTTTTTCCATGGAGTAAATGTTTCTGGAAGTCTTTATTTTCTGACGGATGTTACACTGTAACCACTCAGATTAACACATTCTTAAATGCTGAGCACAGATGAAATAACACTCTATAAACATTGACAATAGACTTTACAACTTCATTGATTCATATTACTTTAAATCAGTTTAACAGACTTTTTTTCACCTATGAATGAAATGAGGGACAATAATGTAACCTGCTTTTATGTTAGTTGTATTGTTATCAGTTTAAGTTCCAATGCGGCCACTTTACCACAGACTGATATGAAACCACTCATGGCAGAGTAATACTGATATGATTGAATATGAAGACATTTGAATGACTTTCTGAAACAACCATTAAATAGTGCAACAAATGAGGGGCACACAGAAGCACACACATAACATTGCAGTCTCCAGATAGATTTGAATGCAGTCTCAACCTCTACTTTAGGCATGGCAAAGGAAGTGCGTTACCAACCTAAAATGTCCAGCCTTTTGCAGAAAAATCAGGAGGTCCAGAGGTTGTAAAACAATCGTCTCTAAAGCTGAAGAGTCTGTAGGAGGTTCTGTGAAATTTTACTGGGCAGAGGTCAAAATCATCTGATTCCTGACCTGATGTCTGATGCTTTCATATTTCTCTTCCAAACCTGAGGGATCTGGATAACAAACAGAATATAAGACAATAAGGATTCGATCTTCAAACAATATTTTATATGGCATTATAGTTTGTGTGAGTGTGTGTGTGTCTCACCAAAGGAGGTACTGAAGGCATTAGGTGTCGCCCTAGGAATGACAGCAGTCGTCTCCATATCAGCCCGCTGCCCAAGAACATGAAGCCGGTCACCAGCCAAAAGACACGAGGGTCCTGGTAATAATCACAAACAGTGTAAGGTTACCCTGTATAAACATACAAATGATGCAGTATGCACATGCAGACCCATGGAACAAAGCTAAAAAATACACTCAAAGGATGTTCCACGAACAGAGGAAAGCTAAGAAATGAAACACACAAGTAGACCTGCATCCACATGTCCCAAAACAAAATGTAATGCGTAAACTTATAAAGACAATACATACAGCTTTAAAATGAACCTTCAATATAGATTCCTACACAAAAACATGTGTTGAAAGAATTACATTTATTTTCTGTTAAATATTTTTTTTAAAGGAATATCCAATAAAAAAGACCAAGTTTAGTCTTAAAACGGTATCAGGCACAATCATTAATAAAGGCTTTAAAGTATTTCAAGTTAAGGAAAGGAGAAAGTCCTCATATCTGAGAAGTTTCAAACACAACTATCCATCTTCAGATACGATTTAAGTCTTTCACAGGAATCTGACTCACCTCTTCGAAGGAGGACTCCAAATTCATTCCAAAAGCGACCCCTATCAGACCAAATAGGGAAAGGGAGAAGGATCCCATCGCCAGCTGCAGATTCAGGCGCATCATCACATTACGATGGCTGGAATAAACAGACAGCACATGTAGAGCTCACAAGTTTTTTTCACCATTTTTTTTTAAATGGGAAATATGCCTTTAATGGGTCAGCAGCTTAGAAAATAGGTTCAGAATTTGTGATGTCTGGATCAAAACAATAGTCAACTGCCTGAATGTATATGAAACCATTATTGTTTGTTTAATTATTCCTCATATTAAACAATCCCTTCCTAATGAGCTGTAAAATGTAGTAAAGGGGATACATTACACAGCCCTCGTTTGGGGCAAACATTTATTTATATATCTGATGTGATGGCTCAGCAGTCTGAGTTAGACAAAGCAAACGGATATCTTTTGAGGTTACAGTGTTTAGAACAAAGTTCCACATTTTTTGCAGGGAATCACAAACTAAAAACAGACAGTAACCTTGAAAAAAAAAGATACCCACTTGATTTGTATGACTGAGATAGTACCACTTCAAGTAAGGTTCCCAAAACATTTTTGAATTTATTTTTTCAAAAAAAGGGATGTATTTATGCGTTTTTTCACCAAAACAGTACATTATGAAAACATCATATAATGATTAGCCTACAGCAGAGAAAACTGTTTTCATTGTTCGTATGGGCATCTGACTACTGTTTGAAGACAGAGTAAAGAACAATAAAGGGATTTGATGCCAAATACAAACATGATTCATTCCAATATTATATGCGCAGTTCAAACTAAATCCCGTTAACAGTAAGAAATTAAACACATCTCAATTGTTGTATACATGAACAGTCCCTATATTTGTAGCCATATAATCACCGTGTTTTCATATTGCCACTATCCCAACATATATAATATATTCACATGTATTGTATAGTAGGCTCTACCCAGTATGTGCGTGTGACGAGTGTACCTGTCCAGATTGATGAAGACAACACTCTCAGAGTCGTCTATCAGCCCTTTCAGCTCTCTGGTCTTGTTCGCCAGCTCCTCAGCCTGTATGGAGTTAAATATTGTGTAATAGCGGGTTCAACACTACAATACATGTGAAAGTACAAATTCATGTTATATTATAGCATTTTAATTTACACTAAGAAAAAGTTAATCATAAATAATGAGTTTACTTTAAAATGGGAATTTTAAAATCTTAATCAGAAATCTTAAACATGTTTTATTCTAACTGCTTAAGTAGCACTACCTGCATATAGTAATTTTCCAACAAGAGTTCCATCTCCTCCGCGTGGTCAATACCCAAACTGCTCTCCTCACTGGAAAGGCAGACAGAAAGACAATGTCCATAAACACATTGGATATAGTTCTGGTTCTAGAAATACCTGGATACCAAAACGCGTAAAAATCGGTACGATCATTTATTATTTCTAAGGAATAGCTCAACAGAACGAATTAGTCAAAACCTGTTCATCAATACAATAAGATTACCGCCAAAATAATCACGCATTGTCCCATTTACGCATCGCTTTACGGACACATACATTGATCGGAAAAACACAGACATCTCACTGATCTCAGGAATTCCGGTACATATAGGCCTACACAATGATCTAATGTCAATAAAAACGTGTTCGTGACAGAAACAACATACATTCAAACTATTTGGAAGTGTCTCAACTACATACGCTACAGAAAGACCGTTATTTCGGAAACACACTTATCGGTTGGTGTTGGCATTTTCTAAAATATCATCCGACCGCGTGGCCTAATGGATAAGGCGTCTGACTTCGAATCAGAAGATTGAGGGTTCGAGTCCCTTCGTGGTCGTCCTTTTGAATTATTTTAGAAGATTCACAATACTTAAGCTCTAAGGACGTTTCGCTTTTTAAAGACGTTTTGAATACAGTTTAACATCTTTAAACTTCATTTTCGCGTTGTATTGCTTATTTTCATCATATTGAACAGATGAGGCATTTTAATTATTCATATTTGTATTTAAAGAATGAATGCAATTTCAGCAAATCAAAATAAATTATGTTCATTCATTCACAATAAGCACAACACTTGTTTTAATAAGGTTATGAGGGAAAAATATAAAATAAAATGTTTTTATGATTTTTTTTAATTAATTAATCATTAAAAAACATATTTACAACTTTACACACACAGCAGAAACAAATAGGTTGTGTCCTAAAATGTGGACAATGCAGTTAATTATGCCACGCCTGAATGTAATCAAACCAAAGCCCTAGCACCAACCAATTAGTTCATATTTAAAAACGGGAAAAAAACATTTTTAGAAGGGCAACTACACTACGACACCTTGGGAATACAAAGTATTCTCCTCCTTCATCTTTTACATAAGCCAGTGACTGCGACATTAATAGAGATTTTAAAAGCCTTTAGCATTCATGTTAATGTATGTGATGTTAATGTATGTGAGGGCATTCGTAACTTACAAAACTCTTGGGTCTGTCCACTTTGTCAAACACAGTTCTTCAATGATCTCCTCTTCATCCAAAATCTTCAGCAAGGTATCCTTAAAGACTTTTATGTCGGTCTCCAACTCTGATAAGCTGTTAGAGGTACAAGAGGCAGGAGTGAAACTCAGCGAACAGACAAAACTAAACACTTGAATGTTTACTATGAATGTTTATGCCTAACATGTCCATGTGAGTCCATAGTGCTTGGATCAATTATGAAATACTGTGTTAAAAAACAGCTAAAAGTGACTGAAGAGGTATTTAGGCAAATGGCTGTGCTTTGAACAAATTAATTTAAAGTGAGACCTAAATAAAAGCTGAAAATAGAAAATGGCGGATGAAAACCAGAACAGTCCCAGAAGTTATGACACATTTTTTCATATCCATAATTTAGAAAATGCATTGCTATATTGATGCTATGCACCCTAATTTATAAGCACCATGTCAAACCTTTACAAAGTATGTGTGCTTTACCTCTTGCTGTTCTGCAGCAGAATATGCAGTTTACTTCTATCAACCGAGAGGATTTTAGGATCCACCAGTGACTCCAATGTGTCCAACAATACTGGTTCCACATCATTCAGCTGAGCATGTAGAGTGTTTACCTATTGACACAAATACAATAAGTTACATACATGCATAAGCACACATTGCTTTATCTTGGATCATAGACTCATCTATACAGAGACTTAGGCTGATTTTGACCAAATTTGACTACAAAGACACACAGTGTTGCTTTAATCTATTGCACCTTGTGCTGCAGGATGGCCTCCAGTGCTGTGAACTCAAAGGGCAGAGAGTGCGACTGTGATGCTAGCTGAGGGGCCAGCTCCAGAACCAACCAACGCTCCAATCCAAAACCACGAAAATCCAACACCAAAAGGGACTGCGGGGTCAAGATGGCTTTGAAAGACTGAGGAAAAACAGAGAGGGGCAGGTTAGCATCTTAAAAAACACTGGAATACGTGCACTGATCCCGGATGTTTGCTACATGTATGCTAATCCATTAAGAACCTCATTATTTTAGGACTTGACATCATCGTTTGAGGTTTTTCTGGCAAAAATTGCAAGGCTTTCTGTAAGTTGATTTATCTACATGAGAAATTCAAGTAAATGTGCCTGTGCTGAGTATACTGCACAGCTGTGTATGCAGAACTGCATTTGGATGAGTGCAATCCCAATAGCAGACTCTGATCAGTAAATATTTGCGGTGAGAGACAATCAGATAGAGTCGCACATATCATAGCTAGTGACCAGATTCTGAAACTGTGTCCCCAGTAGCACCCCTTCCATATAGGAATGAACACTGTCAGTGTGTCACAGTGTGAGGAGACGCAGCTACCGCACAGAAAGCTTCCAGTACTCCAGGTAACGCACCGGCAATGCTCTGTAACTATGTCTTTTGTTTTTAGCACACAATCAACAACAAAAAACATACGCAAAGCGCAAAAACGCAAAGCATTCTGATATCCAAAAAAAGCTAAGTCAAATGTTAGCATATACAATTATATGAATCTACTTGTAGCATCAGTCACTTACTAATTATAGTCCAGCCTAAATGTAATGTAATTGTTTATATTTTCAACAGTTGTGGTAGTTCTTTTTTCTTCCCAATTGTATACACATTTAGTTTCTGTTATCCATTGTTTTAGTTTAGTTCTGCTCATGTTATTTCTTTATTTAAGTTGTCCGTGACCATTCAAAAGAGGTTATAAGAGATTCATGAGTAATCTACGCACACTATTAATAACTTACAAGAGACAAGACCAGTAAAGAAAGTGAAAATAAATATCAAACAAAAAATACATTTTAGTAAGTTAACTCACTTTTAGCACACTCGTATTATATTTATTTATTGATTATGTCAATACTTTAAAAAGTACACGTCACTACTTTATTCTAACTGCAGGATGTCGGTGAAGCTGCTCGGTCTCTGCCTGCTGCTGGGTCTGTTGTGTCAGAGCTGGGCAGACGATCAAATGTGCCTCACATCTGCCTCCAGCTGTGATGAGTGCATTCAGTCTGGCCCGGAGTGTGCTTGGTGCACCGCCCCTAACTCTAACATCCGCTGTCAGACCTTGAAGGAGCTGCGGAGAGCCGGCTGTCGTAAAAGACACATGTATAACCCTCAGGGCAGGCTGCAGGTTGTCAAAAACGACAGCAGGTAAGTGTCATGGTGTAAAGATGCACTGGAAAACCCATGTTATCAGGTTAAATCGCTCAAACTACCCCAAACTAAGGGGACACTGGTGCTAGATACAGAGCCAAAACACAAAGACTTCTAAAGTGTTGCTTTTCTCCGGTAGCACCGAACCATCAATTGCCACAGCCATGTTCATCCAGCCCCAGGAGCTGTCCCTCCGTTTGAGGCCAGGTGTGAGCCACCCCTTCCCTCTCACTATCACCATGCCTACAGACCAGCCTATCACAGAGCTGACCATGGACACCAGCCCTTTGCCAGCAGGACTAAACCTCACGTTTAGTAGCATCCTGAAGGGGAACCCTCTGGTCGTACAGGTCTGCAAATTAAGACACCAGGGTATTCGGAAAAACAAGTCATTGTAATAATCAAGTCTGTCTGCTCTAGGTGAATGTTGAGGCTGCTCGGTGTCCCAGTGAGAGGGACGACTCAACACAGAGGCAGAACAGGACTGGGCCCTGGACTGTCCTCATCACACCCAGAGGCTTTTCACTGAGTGTGAAGACGGAGATAACTCTGGAGTGTGAGTACAACTTCAGAAACATGCTACAGTCAATATACAGTTAAAGAGCAGGATATCAGGAAGTCCCCATATTTAACAATGGAATAAAATGAGTCCTCCAATGACTGGAAGACTGTAACCCTTTTGACATCATTTAAAGGAGTTTCCCTGATGTCAAAAATATCCACTTCAAAGCACTCCAATATAATTATATTATTTTTCTAGTTTAGTTCTGACCAAAAATACCACATATTTCATCATTTTTTCCCCTCAAAATTGCCAAAAGAAATGCCACATGTTAAAACAAAGCAAAAACAAAATAGTCAAAAATAGTACTATGATGTATAAGGGGTTACTTGTTAGGAGGATGCTTCCAAACAAAGCACACACTTTAGTATTGTAACAAATGGCTTGCGCAAAACATGTAATATATTTTTTTTCTTAGGTCAGTGTGACTGCACAAAAAAACGTGAGAAAAATAGCCCTGGCTGCAGTAACCGTGGGGATCTGGTGTGTGGTCAGTGTGAGTGCCAGCAGCCTTATGCTGGACAACAGTGCCAGAGGGACAGTGACTCATTTATTTCCCCAAATGAAGACTTCTGTCGCTCTGGACCGAAGGCCCCTCTCTGCAGCGGTAGGGGAAATTGCGTGGCGGGATTCTGTGAGTGTGAGAGACGTGTCAACCCAAAAGAGAGATACAGCGGGCGATACTGCGAGTGCAGCAACTTTGACTGTCCATACCAAAACAGCAGGTATATATGAGAAGATTATTAAGCCATGAAATATTAACTTCCCTTTTAATCCTGATTTGTTACAGAAACGCACTAAGATTAAAAAGACAAAAACTCTATCCAACAGTATATGCGGAGGCCGTGGGAAGTGTGAGTGTGGAGAATGCATTTGTGATGATGACTGGACTGGTGAGGACTGCGGCTGCTCCATGGAAACTGCTTCCTGTATGGCCACAAATCAGAATCTGTGTAGCAATAAAGGGATGTGTCAGTGTGGGAAATGTATTTGCGAGCCACCACACACAGGCCCGACCTGTGAGGACTGCCCTGTGTGTCATGGCACATGTAGGCAGCATGTGGACTGTGTGGAGTGTCGGGCGTTCGGGACGGGGGCGAAGAAGGACAGGTGAGAACCAGGGTCATAATGTAAACTAAAACTTAAAGGACAGTGGGAAATATTTGTGAACTGAAACTAAATTAATAATATCCCTTAGGAAAACTCTCGTAAAATTGAACCACTAAAATGTATCCGAAATAAAAATGATTCTCCTCTTGAAACAACTAAACATTAAGGCCATCTCTACACAATTTCACCAACTATGTATTTTGTATATGTTAAATCTTTAAATATAGTATATACCTGGGGGGTATACTACGAAGCAGGATTTTCACTTAGCCGGCTAACTTCAGGGAAAACTCTGGGTTTCCGGTCCTTCGAAGCTGGTTCTCTTTTTAGCAGGATAGATCTCCATGGTAACTTATGCTGTGCGGCTAACCTGGGGGGTATACTAGGAAAAAGGATTTTCGTTTAGCAAGATAACTTCCTGGATTTCCGGTACGACGAAGCTGGTTCACTTTTTAGCGGGCTAGATCTCCATGGTGACTTATCCTGGAACTTAGTCTGTGCTCCGAAGCAGGATAGGTTCCAGGATAAGAGATCAACTCAGCGAAAGCACCACGCCTGCTGACCAATCAAAGCTCAGTGTGCAGAGGAAATACAGTTTAAACTGCCGTTGCAGGAAAGACGGCCGGCCAAAATCACAGACTGTGTGAACGTGAAAATGAATAGAACATCACCTCCCATATTCAGAGCAATCTGACTATTATAACTATTATACTAGTTAAGAAAGCTTAATTAAATATCTGCCACAACATAAGTAACCGGATCAAAGTAACATTACGTTGCCTATAGTCCGCGGCACTGTGAGTGCAGACGTCGATGTGTCCCATTATCATTCATATCAGGCAACCCCTGGCACACGTGCCAGCATTGGCACGCGGCACCGTAACCAGTGGCACACTAGGAATAAGTGGAATAAGTGTGCAAAATATTTTAATTGTATTTTCGGATCCTGAACGAGGCCGCCGCCAGAGCGCGTCTCCCCGTTACCTGCAGAAGGAAGCCATGCACGTAACGCAGCCCTGCTCTCTTTAACTCCAGGCGACTTTCTGCCGCTTTCCTCCGTGGTGGAACGATCAGGGGTGAAGTGCTGCCGGAGCGCGCCGTACTTCACTAATTGCAGTACCCATAAGGAGCTGTACAAATGCCGCAGTTTTTGCGTGGCTGTGTATTTAGTTGAAAGCCCAGTGGCGATCTGCTCATCTCTCATCGAAATAATATGCTACAAAGGGGCGGACTGGCCAACTGTGTGTTGAACTTTCCTGTCGGCTCCCAGACCGTAGTCGAGGAGGGCAGAAGCAACAAGCTTCAGGTTCAATAACCAACTTTAGCTTAAATGACTGGGAGAGAGGCCGGAGTCTTCTGGAGGCCGGTTGCATTTATTTAGCGCTGTTCTTCTGGTTTCACAAAATACATCCACAGACCTCTGTTTTTCTGCTGCCTCGTTTCATTCCAGAAACATACGACGTTGCCCCTCGCACTGGTTCGCTCTCCAATCCCACAAGTCTCGTCTCTCTTCTCTCTCTCTCTCTCTCTCTCTCTGCTCTTTTTTCTCTGCTCTCTCTCTCCAAAGGGGACAGCACCTCATCTCACTGTGGGAACCCTAATATCTGATAACATGGTGTGCTGTGAAAATCACAGTCACACATGGTTAACGTTTGTTGAATTCGACATCATGGTAAGTTGCGCTGACATGAGTTCCACACACTGCTTGGCCCCAGCGGAGCTGATAGTTGACGAGGGTGCAAGCTCCTCAAACCCCCCTGTGATAATTCTCGATCGGTTTGGCGCCACGCGCTGACCTTAAATTTTTTTTTTTTTTTTTTTAAGATGGCCGGACTTCATATTGAAAAAGGTTGCCGGACCCCTGCAGTACGCATTCCAAAACTCTTTTTCTGTTTACCAGCGTGTATCACCTTGCAGGGGGCAGCGTACATTGTGGCTTTTATCCTGGATANGGCCCTGGAAAAGTTATGGAAAACAATATTTTTCCCAAAGCTTTGGAAAAGTCATGGAAATGTTACTACAGTTGCGTCAAATATAATTTACATTTGATCTAATCGCCTAAATAATCTGCGGTCGCGAGCTGTTATGTGCCATCATGACGCGCATGGTGTTATTTTTGAATATATGAAGCGCGAGCTGTGTGCTCGAGTCTTCCTGCCTGTCGGGCCGGCTGAACTCTGCTTCTCCGGGATGAATGTCAGCTACATTATCTACGGTGCGTTCGTTAACTGTGCGGAGTCACTGTGGCACAGACTGCACCGCTGGTGAACAGCTGTTAGAACGGGCCGTTCAGAGCAGAGCGGCAGAGCGTGATGTGAACTGAACAGTTTTTCTGTCGCAATATCATTTTAAAGAATCGTTGCGCTAGCTAGCTAGCATACATTGTCACTATCTGCTAACGTTAGCTTTAGCCTTTGTTTTCGAATTGTTTTTTTCATAGGCTATAAACAGAGGTGGTATAAGTATAGATATTGTACTAGAGTACAAGTAGAAGTACTTAGATCTTGTCCTTGAGTAAAAGTAGAAGTACTCAGATCTTGTACTTTAGTAGAAGTACTCAGATCTTGTACTTAATAAAAGTAGAAGTACTCAGATCTTTTACTTGAGTAAAAGTTGAAGTACCAGAGGAATACTCTATCACAGTAATGGCGCATTTACACTGCAGGCCTCGCTCGGCCTCGCTCGGTTTGGTTAGGCCTTATTAGGCCCGGCTCACTTTAATGCTGCGCTCACATTACAGTTTAGGAACTGGGGTAGTATCTATAGTAACGCAGTGTAGGCGGAGCCGTGACGTCATCTTCAATGAGCGCCCCAGAAAAACAACACAGCCGTTAGCTCTTAGCACTCAGAGCTCACAGCTCTTCATATCTGTTCAGAAACTAGACAAAAGTTAAACAAGTACAAACCACAGACTGCCTGTGTCATGGCGAATACAGTCGCTGGTTTATTTATGTCTTTATAGGCCGTTGTTGTGAGTGTGGACGGTCGGAGCATATATAACGTTAGCTTAGCCAAGCTCCATTTAGAAAACACGCATTTNACGCCGAGCGTCGAACAGCACTTTGAAATGGGATGGAACCACGGCAGACTGTCCAAAGCTGGATTTGAACGGGTCCACCCCTCCCCCACCCCGTCCCCAGAACTACACATGCTGGCTATTGTGTGTTTTGCAACATGCTCTATGGCACGCCTCTGGGAATTGTGGTTTTAAAAGACGTTTTCGTATTTCCCATAATAAGAAGTTGCCAGTATTAAACTGTTTAGATCCCTGGAGGTTTAGGGGATAGGAAACACTCAAATTTAAAACATATAATTAATAAATGGGTGAAAATTGCTTGTGCCCATAATGGGCAGCATTAATATATACCCACATGCTAGCTAAGGTCAGAAGAGCTTTATTTAACAGCTGGTCTTATGCCTGTGACCCCTCCTGTTGTATTTCTGGTATATTCATTTTAATGTCACCTGATATATAGGATGTGTGTTAAACTTGAATGGACAAGTCCATTTTTTCCTCTTCACACATCCTATATATCAGGTGACATTAAAATGAATATACCAGAAATACAACAGGAGGGGTCACANGAGTCTTTATTATACATCCGTATGAGCAGAGTCCGACAGGCAGGAAGACTCGAGCCACACAGCTCGCACTTCATTATACTATATAAAAAAAGAACACCATGGTGTCGATCAACATAGAAGCAGCTCACGGCCGCAGACCCCATACCCCAAAAAATATTTTTATTTGCAGATCTACATGATCACACAAACGACCTATATTGAATTTCGCCTTGCTGATATATTGTTTCTCACTGTTGTACCACTAAGTACAAGTTCATCTTCCTATCCCCCTGTGTGCCTTGGCAGCCCCCATCTAACTGCACGTTTTCACATCCATGTGGTTCCTTTCAGTGAATTGATGCAAGGAATGATGTGTCTGTTTATCATTCTTGCTTTCTTTTCAGTGGAGCTAGGCTACCATGCTTTACTGAAACAATTCATCTTTCTATAGATCGATAAAAACAATGATACGGTTTCTGTCAATACTTACGGCAATGAAGATTCCACTAGGTCCGTTGAAGTTATCAATCCAACCCTGAGAGAGCAGTCAGAGCAGAGGAGCTTCACATTAGAACTGAAACCATCAGCTGTTTAATCAACAGGAATTGATCTAGAATTTTTTTTTTTTTTTTAGTTACCAAATTAGTTACTATGAAAAAAATTGCAATTTGACATATTTTGCTGCGTTTGCTGGCTAAACTGTCTTATATGCAAGGAACTTCTTGATTTATTTACGGTTTGTTTTCTCAAACTCTCCTAAACCAGAAATGCAACAGGCCCTCCACAGTGATTAGTCAGGAGCTAAAGGTGTACAGAGCTTCTTGTCTACACATGCCTCACTCCTTTCTGTGTTTGCAGCATTAAAGAGGGAGTGCTTTAAGAGAAGAGAAACAGCTGAAAATGGACATAAAAAATTGAATATTATGTTGTGTGTTCAATACACACAATAAAACAGGGCCACTTTTGTGCTACCTCTGTTAAGGTAATTGTATTTTCTTCACCATTGTGAAGTGGATAAATCATTGTTTCAAACTACCTATAACGCATGTGAAGCTGAGCCCTGTCAACATGACCTTGTTTTTACAAAGCTAAGCTAATACAAAACCTTAACACCTGAATGAACACAGCAACTGCAACATTCAGGAGATTTTGAAAACACAGAAAATGGCAAGAGCCCTAAAGTTGGTATAAGTATTATGGTTTTCCCTTCCTTAGTACATTTGAATATCAGAACCTAAAGTTAATCTGTGGTGTAGTGGAACATTTCATTCAACAGTAACTCTCTCCCTGACTCCAGGTGAATCACATCCTGACACAGCAACACAACACCAGCAGGCTGGGTGACTCACAGGGAAGGGCTCCTTCCAGCTGGCCCCCACGATGGAGGGTCTGACGATGGCCACGTTCAGGTCTCCGGCCTCCTGCTGCACCATGTATTCAGCCAAGGCTTTGGTGAAGGTGTAGGTGTTGGGACGCTCCCCGATGAGTTTGGGAGTCAGAGCAGACACCAGCTCATCATCCATCCAGCTGGACAAAGTGAACAATAAGTAAAGTTATTGATTAAACCAAAGACAGTTTTAATATGGAGCAATACAAATGTGTCTTTAATCGCCAGAAATAAATGAAAAAATAATATGTTGATTGTACTGCCAAGCTTAAAGGTGGGGTATGTAATTTTGGAGAAACCAGCTCGAGTGCGCTAGAATTTGAAAATACACAACCGGAAAAAATCTGCCTCTTCCTTCAGACTTCCTTACAGAGCCCCTCCTCCAACACACACGAACGCGCACATGACCAATGAGGGCACGAGATAAGTTTGTGCACAGATGGAAGGCTGACAGGCAGGTAGGCCATCCAGTTACTTTAATCGGGCCGGATCAGATGATTGGTCGTGCTTTTTACAGTACCGCGGCTTCCACAGATGACATTTCTTAATGGATTTATTGTCAAAGCATTAAATATATTCATTGCTATCGGGATGTTAAGAGCATTCCATGGAATATAACAAGTGTTTCGAAAATAAATTACATACCCCACCTTTAAGGCACTGCGAGGAAGAGATAACAATTTATCTGGATTTCAGGCGCAATATATACAAAACCTCAAATGTCTAACTCAGTAGAATCCATTATCGTTGAACCCATCCCAATAGCAATGAATATCTGAAGTGCTTTGACATAAAGAAATGTCATCTGTGGAAGCCGCGGTACTGTAAAAAGCACGACCAATCATCTGAGCCGGCCCGGCTAAAGTAACTGGATGGCCTTCCTGCCTGTCAGCCTTCCATCTGCGCACAAACTTATCTCGTGCCTCATTGGTCATGTGCGCGTTCGTGTGTGTTGGAGGAGGGGCTCTGTAAGGAAGAGGCAGATTTTCTCCGGTTGTGTATTTTCAAATTCTAGCGCCCTCGAGCTGGTTTCTCCAAAATTACCTACCCCACCTTTAATCTAGAGCAAAGTGGCGGACAGGTGCCGCTGAAAGATGTAGAGTCCATAAAGGTTAAGTATGTATTACTCGTTGTGTGTTTTGGCCACACTTGGTATTTGGTCATTTGTCCTTGTCTTACTTCAAAAACTCTCTTTTGTCTGTATAAGTGACTTTGTACTTGTCCTCACCTCTCCTGTAATCACTTAACCACTGACCCTTGGATCACAATGTCTAAAAGTGACATGTTATTGAACAGGTAACAGAGCAAACTGTGTGTGTTTACATTCAGTGTGTGACAGTTTGCTAAGATGTCTCTTTAACTTCATCAACAAGAGATGAAAGGTCTTTAATGGACTTCATTTTCACAAAATCGTTAATAAATCGTTTAATGACATATCAGATATTTAAACCACAGAGTTGGCAAATGATTAATGAGCTGAATTAATGTTAAGATGGATTACTAAATAAAACATTAAACTGCATAATTTGGATGTGAAAACCTTTTCCACTCCATGCAAAGAAAGGCATCACATTCCAGTCTATGAGTAAGAGGTCGTACTTAAAACCACTCTGCATCTGACGGGAATACATCTCACTGCTAAAGGTCCATTTTGTTTAATTCATTCCACAGTAAAACTCAGTATGTTAGCACATATATATCCAGGCTACCTTTCTATACATACATCCCTCAGAAACCTTGCACTAATCTGCACTCCCTCTGCAGGCTTCTAATGCTTTACTAATGACTGGCAGCCTGAACAACATTAGTGCTACTAAAGCAGCCTTTTACTCTCCGGCCCTGCTAAGCTGGCGTGATCAGTGTATCACCAACACTAATCTTCATGGTACATTCTTACTGGCTTTTTATGCATCCAAAGAGGAAATGAAGAGTCCCTTTGAAAAACCATAAACCCAATCTACTGTGAACTGATGACACAATAGAGCACGAACACATCTGTGTGGAGAAACAAGCATCACCACAGCTGATCAGACCAACTTACTCCAGAGAATCGATGAGTCTGCGGTAGTCTACGGGGGGGGTGTACACGACCTCCTCAATGAGCTCTCGGTCACAGTTGGCGTAGGCTGTGGAGACATGAAGGAAGACCTCCAGATGCTTCATCCTGTGGGCCAGGGCCAGCATCTTCTGAGTGGCCAGCACATTCAGCTGCATCGCATCTCTGAGGGGGGGGAGACGGTTAAATTTAATCTAACTGACCCAACAGTACGTCTGGGGGGTTAAAGACAAACATTTTGGAGTCTGTCCAATCTCATTTCTCTAGCTAGGATGTTGTTAGCCTAGCTTAGCATCAACAAGTGAAACATCTACAAGAAGCTCTCTAACGTACTAGCTACCACATTATATCTAATTTGTTATACAACAATTAAAACAGCAATGTCAAAATCACATTGTGGATCCATTTCATGAACAATAGTCAGAGATTCCCAAAGTCTTGTCGCAGTGAGATTGCCATCTTTGGTCATGCCTTTACAGAGATCAGACCAACACTGAGTGAATGAGCGCTGTAGCTGCAGACGCTGCACAAAGGGACTGTTTCTTGTTACGCAATAGTTCCAGCATTTACTGTAACCCCACCTTAAACTACGCTCTCTTAATGTGTGTACAGTTTAAACAAACGAGATTCAACATGTAAACTGGTGAGCTTCAGATGTGTTGGTGGGCACATTTTTCCTCTTTGGAAAAAGCTGGAGCTGCTTCCCCATGCTTTAAGTCTCCAAGCTAAGCTAGGCTAATCACATCCTGACTCCATCCTTCAAATGGAGCTTTATTAAAGGGATATTCAGGTTTTCTTTCTAGTGTTGGTATAAAATGACACACATAGGCCTGAAATACACACACATGCACAAACCTACAATTGATATACATGCACAGATGAAGAGTTGGTAGAGCGAAGAGGCTTTCAGTACACACTATTTTTGGTCCGATAGGGACTCGAACCAGCGACCCTTCGGTTCCCAAGCCAAGTCCCTACAGACTGAGCTTCAGCCGCACTAATGCACACACGAATGCACAGCTCCTTCACCTTCACCAACATACTTATTTGCCCAAATGTTGAATTATTTCTTTAAATACCATTTTCAGTACAATTATCTTTCGCCAGACTGACATAAGATACACAGATGGCATCAAATGTGACTGCCAAAAAACTCCTTCAAAAGTAATTGAGTTGCTTTCCAAACACAATCCTACATGTCTCAAAGGTTAACATTGTGAGTGTTTGGTTCACAGTAATAAAGAACATTTCTGTGTACTTCTAGCATAAGAGAGAACGATCTCTTGAAACAATGTTGTTTTCTCACTGCTAAGTCAAGCAAATACTCATAATCAGTTCTTAATTTGACTGCGAAAACACAACAGATAATGAACTATGAACAACTGTACCAAATGTATAAGTGGAGAAAGAAACACATTGATGAAGACCTGCTTAACCATCTGGGAGAAATAGCCATATCCAAAGATATGTATTAAAATATAGGTAAAGGAAAGTGAGCAACATGAACAGGGCTCACTTGAGCGGCTCATTGAAGCGGATGGTGGCGGCGCAGTGGAACACGATGTTGACGCGGTCGGCCAGGACGCTCTGGTCCTCTTCGCTCAGGTCCAGCCCGGGCCGGATCAGGTCGCTGCTCACGGCTGTGATCTTCTCTGAGAAGCCTGGCTGCTCATCCTGCAGTCTTTCAAACAACTGAATGGGAAAATGATGAAATTAAAAACACTGCTTATAACTGTACAGCTATAAATTATAAAGTATAAATTGGCATTTGAATAATGTGGCATTTGTGGTATTCAGCAGTTATTTAGAGTGCAGTGCAACGTTTTCAAAGTTCAATTTGTCTGCCAACTATTTGTAGTCTCAGTGTTGAACAGCTGATGGCAGAATGCACTAAACTGATCTCAGATCTTTACGTATATTTCTTCTGTTCTCTAGAAACTGACAATGTTAGCAAACCTACAGCACACTGTAACCAATGTGAATAAACCAACAGACATTACACATAGTTTTTCCTCACATATAATTAAATATTCATTTAAATGTCCTCTGTTGTGCCTGATATTTTTCAGTAAGGCTAGAATGGAAAAAGGAAAACTTTGATTTTGGGGAAAGGTTTATTCAGGACACCCAAACTGTGAAACACAAGGCATTTCTCATCTTAAGCACATGCTTCATACACACAGGAACACTAATTGAATGGAAGTAACCGTGCAGCACAACACAGGGTCAGTGTGGTTGTAGATCAAATGCTGAAGATAATTTCCTTTCCTCACAGGCAACCACACATCTGCTGAGGGGAGTGGTACATTTGAAGCGGCGTCTGAACAATGTTGCAGATGCTACTTCAAAGCCCCCCCCCCCCTCTCACCACTCACCTTGCAGTTGATCATGTCAGCGATGCGGGCCTGGGGACTCTGACCAGCTTTGGACCGGACCAACACAAACACACTTTTGACTTCAGGGCAGGACCGCAGCAGCTTCTCCAGCAGAACCTGAACCAAGGAGTGAGAACTCCATCAGGAACTCTTAGCTCCTCCTTCAGAATCACCTTTATTGCCAGGTACGTTTACACATACAAGGAATTTGCTTTAGTGTATGATGGTGCAAATATTTAAAGCCTCTAAGTCAGATTTTAATTGCATTAACATTGTGTAAAATAACGTTTCCACAATAACTTAATACCCCCAGTGCCTCAGAAAAGGTCACACTGAATATTTAACCGGAATTTCTCTCATTCTTTTGTGACACTGAAATTTTCCAGGACACACTGCCCAGCATACATTTTTTTATGAAGGACACCCTGACACAATGGCTGCTGTGTCGGGCAGTAAAAGGACAGCCATTTGAATGATATGCAACATGTATCAGTTATCAACAAGAAGATATTAAAATAACTGATGTTAACTGTACATGTCTTCACACAGCTTCCTCTCATCACCCTCAGCAGGTCATGTTGTTGGCTTTGGTCCTGTCTGATTGGCTACTGTACCTTGCCCATGAAGCCTGTTGCTCCAGAGATTAGCACTGTCTTCCCTGCAAAGTATTCTGGGATGTTCACCATGATGTCTGTTGGTCTGTATAGTGAGCCCCTCACACGACAGCACCTGCAGACAGGACAGAAACAAAGAGAGGATTACAAAGTGAGCAACGTGCAGCATGAGGAGGTGGATCCAAAATGAATTTTACATTACAACATTACCAATGTAAGAGGATGTTCCGATAGGAGCTCAGAAAGAAGTTAACTGAGTGATCACTCTGTCAGTGATGTGAATATTGGTACGATTTGCATCTGTTTTTTTTAACCCACAACCAAAAATGTTTGTATTTCTTTTTTAACATGATTTCATAAAAAGGTTTGAGAAAAAGTTGCAGTTTATACTGCCTATACTGTTCATAATGTAAATACTGTCAGGTGTATATATATATTTATATTATTCTAAACATCACTCTGCACTTTGTTATTTTTCACTTCTAGTTAGAACTGAATTGCAGTGTCCTACTCTGTGCAAAGACAATAAAGTTGAATCTAATCTAATCTGACCATTTGCTTTAAAAAAAAAAGGGAAACATTTATTTTCTGTTGATGAACAAACCATTATTCTAAATACCTGTAGTCCCTGAGTGAGGCATGCATTTCAGCAGATCACGTGATGTGTTACTGTTTGCACAAGCAGCTCTGTATCGGCCTTATCAGTCCAAGGATGCGGGTTTATAAGTACAACACTTTGAGCTGATAACAGGCCATTCAGGAGATAACTCATCAGATCATTCTCTTAAGGACTTTCTTTGATCAGCTATCGCATGAAGTCTTATCATTTTCAAAATGACAACATTACTAAGACATATTTGCAACGGTTTGAAATACAACACACATGTCTAGATTCTGTGAGCATGTGCAGATGTCTTCTTCACTTTGCATTGGAAATAATGATCAGGAAACTCTTGCCCCATTTATCTGCATGACAGGAATACTGGTGTGGTCAGATAGGGTCAAATTACAGTTCACATGATTTAAAGAGACCTCCGTGCAATCCAAATAATGTCGTCATTCCGATACCAACCGGTTCATATTAAGCCATCTGGGATTATGTAGGTTATGTGAATAAAACAATGATGGGCTGGATGAAAAGCTAAAACAGGTTTGGCATTTCTTTTGAAACCATGAGGATAAAAGAGCATCACACTGCCTGCAGACTGTACACAGCACACTGCCTGCAGACTGTACACAGCACACTGCCTGCAGACTGTACACAGCACACTGCCTGCAGACTTTACACAGCACACTGCCTGCAGACTGTACAGCACACTGCCTGCAGACTATACAGCACACTGCCTGCAGACTATACAGCATACCGCCTGCAGACTGTACAGCATACAGCCTGCAGACTGTACAGCATACAGCCTGCAGACTGTACACAGCACACTGCCTGCAGACTGTACAGCGTACAGCCTGCAGACTGTACAGCACACTGCCTGCAGACTGTACAGCATACAGCCTGCAGACTGTACACAGCACACTGCCTGCA